TGGAAGACAGAGGTTAACTTCCAGTAGTTGGTTTTCCTCTCCATCATGGGTTCCCAGGCTTGAGCTCAGGTTGTCAGGATTCTACAACACACATCTTTACCTGCTGAGCTATCTTACTGGCCTGAAGCTAGAGATTTTCATAGTAAAAAACACTAGGTTGATGTTTCTCATTGGTTTTTGGTTTTGTCCCTATAGAATGATGATTCTTGTGACAGTTTCTACTTTTTTTTCAATGACACACATTTACTAATTTAATAGTTCGTTTTTTATAGATCCTATTTTCAGTATTTTTAATAAAGCTAAAATATGCTGGGAGATAATTTTCCCCTTCTCTGGAAGAACAATGGGGTGCTGGAGACATGGACCAGGTTACAGTGAATTCATTTCTTTAAGGGAAAGTTCAAAAGAGTCAAAATATGATCAATAGCTCAGGTTTTTAAAAATGAGGGAAGGCATTTAGAAGGAAAATGTAGATAAGTCTCAGCACATTGATTCAGGAAGTTCAAGGCCTACTTGAGATGAATCCAAGCATTACAATCTAGAGAATATCCTCTACAATCTATTCAATGACATGCTGACAACTGAAAGGGATGCAATAGAGCCCTCAGGCAGGCATGAACCACAGCAGATCCGACCCTCAGGACAGCCAGTTCCTCACTCACAAGGCAACAACAATATGCTCCCTCACTGTGGATTCTAAAATGTCAAAACTCCATCTTTCAGCTCTATGTAATTTGCATTTTATAATATGCAAGCCAGGCATGGTGGTACACACGTGTAATCCCAGAATTTGGAGGACAGAGGCAAGTAGATCTCTGTAAGCTCAAGGCCAGACTAGTTTACATAGCAAGTTCCAGGTCAGCCAGGGTCAGCCACATATCAAAAATAAAATAAAATTATTGAGGTGTGAGGTAACACCAACTATAGATCCATACCTGCCTATAAAATGAACACATGAGTTACCATCCTCAAAAGTAGTTTAAAATTTCAAAGTGAAACAGCACTCATGGGGCTAAACATGTAGTTTAGCTGGTGGAATGTTTGCCTAGCATGCATGGGTTTGATGCTGCATGTGCTGGGAATGGTGGTGCATGTTTATTATCCCAGCATTCATGAGGTGGAGGATCTACAGTTCAAAGCCACCCTAAGCTACATAGTGGATTCAAGGACAGTCTGGAATACATGAAACCCTGCCTCAAAACAAAAAGATTAAAGGGTCTGGATTAAGGAGACTAGAAATGGGGCTGACTAGGCTAGACCCACTCACCTAGACAACAAAACTAATGAAGCTATCACACAACAGTGTCAACAGAAAGCCCCTTAACTACACAGAGGGAAAAGATGAACATTCACAAACTGCAATTAGGCAGCAACCTGGCTAAATCTATAGAGGTCACTGGTTCTAACTATGATCAGTTCAAAGAAAGCACAGAACCCCTCATCTTTGGGGAAATCCTGCACATCTAGTTATAACATGATCCAAACACTATGAAAGAGGCAGTAAAAGTAATGAAGACACATAAATATCATCTTGTTCAGTTTTGAAATTGTATAAACTATGAGAATTCAAAGGCATGATGTTACTCACAGCAAGTAACAGAACAGAAAATAACCAGTGATTCACAGACTGACCACAAGCAAACATTTAGCTTGGTTGGAAGCAGTTTCTTTCACTGTCCCTGCTGACTACAGTAAGATTTGGGTCACGCACACACTAGCAAGCTAATCTGGCCAGGCTGGTCAGGCTTAGAGCCCAGGGCCTGATTTGTGAACTAAGCAAACCATGCATTATGGGAAAATCGCCCAATGAGCACCTCACACTAACGCTCATGGCCATAACCTTTAAATGGAAGCTTTCCTGAGGAGTCCCATGCTTACAGCAAAAGAAAGCTGTTCTGCCTGTCCTTACCTTACATCCTAAGAAACAATGCTGGAATCATGGTCGTTTAAAACCAGTAAAACTGGGAGTCACTAATTCCTCATTTACATGAAACATGGAATGTGTTTAGTCCTTCATCCCAGCTGGGTAAAACAGGATGAAAACCAGCTTGAAAACAAAGAAACTCAACATCACCAGCACCAGCACCACCAAGCTGAGAGAGAACTGCTAGGAGAACTTGGCACCCAAAATACCCAAAGCCATGTCCTGAATTCTCAGGGCACAAAAACCCATTCTAAATTTTTCTCTAATCTATAAACAACTTCGGCCGTGAAATCAGGTCACTGGAGAGCTTTCCAACCTTGCAGCTCCTGCACTTGCCTGCTAGCTCCCTCAGATCCCAACAAACATGCAGCGTGGGAGGTCCTCCAGCCAACACTAGAGCCCTTCATTTGCAGACAAGACAAAAAGGTGGATTACAATCATCTTATCTGATGTTCTCACTGAAACATTGCTTGCCAGGCAGTGGTGGTGCTCGCCTTTCAGGCAGAGGCATGCGGATCTCTGTGAGTTCGACGCCAGCCTAGTCTACAGAGCAAGTTCCAGGACAGGCTCCAAGGCTATAGAGAGACCCTGTCTCGAAACAAAAAACAAAAAACAAACACTTGATGCTGCCTTTAGGCAAGGCCCACATCTAGGCTACCTGAGAGGCATATTAAAATACAGATTCTAGTCTCCCAACTCATAAAACCTCTGGGGATGAATTTCCAAATGTTCTACATCAATAAGCTCCCAAGAGATGCAAGCAATCAATTTAGCCTGAGAAACAAATCCTGAAGCCCAATCTATCTATAGTACCCATTTCCTCTCTGTGCCATAGACCTTGCCAAGCAGCACATTCAAACTCACACCATTGCCCTAACATGAGTTGGTCACACTGAGGCTTACATGGCTCAGCCAGGTCAATGGACAGTATCCACTTCTTATCTAATAACTTCTCAGCTGACAGCACCAACACATATCCCTGTAGGTGTCTTCTTAGAGATGAATACAGATGGTGCCAAATTCTTCCCAAAACTGGGACTGTTTCCTGGATGGAATCATGCCATAACTTCCAGGGAAAGCAGTGAGTATAAACTTGAGGAAAATCATCAAGTTCCGTTTCCGGAGCAACCATTACTGTAGGTACTCTCAAGATCAGATGAATTAACCTTTCATCCATTTAACATTATTTTCAAGATGAAGAAACGGGGGCAGGTTGACTTTTCAACTCACTTTAAAGGCACAGGACTTTATAAAACAGGAAAGGAGCAACAATTTTATTTTCTAGTTTGAAACTGCTGTTTTTGAAAATGCATTTCAGGAAAATGAAACAATTACCTTCAATCATCTGACAAACACTGTCCAGCTGCATTTCTCAAGAGAAAACAGCCTAAAGCTGCCAAGGCAAGCTTTACACTTCTCTAAGGAAAACCTGGTCAGGAGAACAGAAATTTAAAACAGCAGGAAACTGAGAAATGTAATGTGAATGAGAGACAGAGACACAGACTTCAAAATAAACATTTTAAGCCAGGCATGATGGCATACACACATAATCCATCATTCAGGAAGCCAAGGAAGGAGAACCACCATAAGTTTGAGGCCAGTCAGGACCATAACAGTAAAGCCCCATCTCAAAAAAAAAAAAAAAAAAGAGGGAGAGGAGAGCCAGACTGGTTTTAAAAAGTGAGGTATTTGGAAAGATTCGTTCTATTTAAATAAACAGGAATCACTTCTCAGCCTTCTGTCTAAATGCCTAAAATTAGCTGAAGACCCTGACCCTACCCCTGACTAACCCTGACCCTAATGGATGTATGATTACCTTATCCCTAGAATTAGAAGCTTAAACCCGAGGCAAGACACATTTCAGAAGACAGGACACTTGAAATACAGAATTTTATTTAGAAACTGTTTAAAGTAGAAAAAAACCCTGTCAAGAAAGACCAGGTGGAAAAATGGGTTCCCAATAAAATGGAATTTAGGGGCAACAGAAGTCTAAAAGGCCACAAAGAAGAATAGATAGCACCACTGTCATTTGAACAATGGCTAGTTACTTGCTTTTTTCTTTCTTTTTTTTTTTTTTTTTTTTTTTGGCATTGTTAATCACTAAATCTGGGTTTTCCTCTGAATTCCACACAGCATGCACTAAATAACAATCTGTCATAAAATACCTGTTCTCTACACACAGCATAAGACAAGCTACCACCAGAAACAAATCAATACAAACACATTAGGGGCTGAACAATCTCAGTAGTGGGTAACATACATTTTGCAGAATTCTGCCAAACAAAGGAACTGAATAGGCTGTGGGCAAAGCAAGAGGGAGAATTAAGGAATGAAGTATTTTAAATATTAATATTTCAGTCATGGTACTGTATATTCTTAAAAAAAAATTAACATTTAGTAACACACTAGAGAATTTTATCTCCAAAGAGATTAGTGCACTGGCAAAGTATTCGGGTGACAATGGAGAGCTGTGGGCAGCAGACACCCAACACCCCAGCCTCACAGAGCCCAAGGTGACAATGGCCTTCACTGATCACTCCTCTGCCAGAGGTCCAGAAAGAACTTGCAGCGCGATCACCAGCCTGCTGTATTTACAACGCTCAGCAGCAAACTTAAGGAGCCAGAGGAGTCCCCAGAGGTCAAGGGGAACAGAGAAGAGAACGTGTTAAATGTAAACTTAACAGACAGTACAACAGGACTCAATGCCTGTTCAAATCCCAGAGATGTGGGCAGATCCCAGAAACATAATACACAGGAACTGGGGGGGGGGGGAGACGGGACTGTGTGCCAAGTCCTCAGAGGAAAGCTCAGTGAAAGCTGAGCTCTGTCTATCTCAGGCACTGCAGGGCTGAGATACCCTCTATTCACCCAAGCTACCATGCTGCTTGCTTTTATAGCAGGGATTTGCAATGACACAAAATGGCTTTACAGAACAACGTTTCAAACTTTCCTTCTGGGCCAAAGACTACATCTGTGAGATTCAAGCAGCCTTAAAAGGCCTGTGACAGCAGGTTCCAAAGGGTCTAAAGTCTGGCCCTTCCTTCTCAGACACAACATCAGACACAAAAATCTCCTGTCATGTTATATTTTATATTTTGAAATATGGAAGCATATTTTAAATACTCTTAAGGCATTTATTAAAACGTTCTCTGCCAGAATTTCACATTAGCTTAAAATTCAATTCAGTCTTTACATTTCTCTGAGGTTGTCACCTCAGTGTATTACAAAACCCCCTTCTCCATCAGTCAGTGTGACCAGCATCCACGTGAAGAGCCCCATGGTTGGCCTCTCTGTTCCCCTGGTGAACCAACTAGATGTTAATACTGCTCTGCTACAAGGCAACAGCTCCTAACTCAAACTCATCGGAAAGAGACTTCTGCAAAGTGCACTTTGAAGAAGAGGTACTTTTTGCTTATGAAAAGAAACCAGTGAATCCTCTAAGAATAATAAAAGGGCGTATTTAACAGTTAAGCACATGATTTGGAGTGAAGAATTCGAATGTTGCTCTGCTGGTCCAGGCTGCTTAATACTCTTCTTGTTCCTCCTGTGGGCCCCCTTCATCAGGTATCACAAAGCCTTCCTGAAATGGAAATGAAAGTGGGGGAAAGCTATTACTCAACATTTCATGCCAGTCCCTCCCTCTACTCACTGACCTCACATGTAAGCTTCTCCATATAAGCAGTTCTTCCTGTCTCCTTAAGCACAAAGACCAGGTGACCACTATTGTATATTTTTAGACAACTGCATCATTTCTTTTGTTGGTTTTGATTTTTGATATAAGGTCTCCCTATATAGCCTTGCCTAGCCTGGACTTTGCTTAAACATAGACAAGGCTGGCTTAAAATTTAAACTGTCCTGCCTCTAATTCCTGAGTTCTGGGTTTAAATGTGTGTCCACCACACCCAACAATATCACCATTCTTAATGCAAAAATTACACACAAATTCATCTTCAAAGCATTAGAAGTAATGAATATTTATGTGTCTAAATGTACGTTTAAAATGTGCATTCCTTCAAAACTCCAAGTTCATGAGCAGTGGTTCACACCTGTAATACCAGCCCTCAGTAGGCTAAGGTAGGAGGATGGCCATGAGGCTGAGGCCAGTCTGTGGCTATAGATTGAGTTCCAGGGTATCCCAGGGTAGAATGAGAACCTGCCTCAAAAAATTACTGACAAAGCTCTACACAAGACAAAACTGGATTCAATCCCCAATTGCACAAAACAAAAACATTAAAAAAAAAAAAAAAAAAAAAAAAAAAAAAAGTCAATGACATTCAAACAGGCAGACAGTAGCATTCACATGTAATCCCAAAATTCAAGATGCACAAAAAGGAGTTCAAGGTCACCCTTGGCTACAGTGAGTTAAATTCCAACCTAGGTTATGAAACTCTTGATCAAAAACAAAAATAAACAAACAAAACGGAAGTTGACTATTGGGTATGGTGGCTCACAACAGGCTGAGGCAGGAGGATATTAAATTCAAGGTCAACCTGGGCTATCTGAAAAAAAAAAAAAAAAAAGCTTAGTATTCTGATGTTATTAGTGCTGCCTTCATGCATCATTGTTACACTGAACACCAGTGTTGAACCAAAATACCTGCAATAGCAGGATAGGACTGGCCCAGTGTCAATGACAGCTGGGAAGCAAAGAAGAGGGCAGACCCATGGCCCCTCCCCTGCTCCCTGTGGGGCATATAGCATGCCCGAACAGCATAGAATGGCCACACTGCTCTACCATAAACAACACATCTTGATTTTTCTTTTTAACTAAATCTCTACACCTTAAAGTAGTTAAAATGTACTTTCACTAAAACACCAAAGACTCACATATCTTCATCATTTTTTTCATTACCAAATATGATGCAAATTTTAAGGATTTACTACACAAATTAGCAGCTTTTCCGTCATCTGTCTTAATCCTCCAAAATTCCAACAATATGTTTAGAAAACTAATACTTTATATTTGTATAGTGCATGCCCAATTACAAATACGTTAAACAGTAAACATAGTCAGGTATCAGATCCTAAACCCAGGGGGAAGAAAAGCAATCTTTTCTAATGAACTAGTATGTATGACTAAAGGCTACGTAATAAAAATGGACCCAAAGAAAATCACAAAGGGAGCCAGGCAATCTCCTATAAGGGAAGAGAAAGGCATACCCTGGCATCTATGGCACAAACATCAAGGACCAAGGACATGCCTGGGGTCCCAATAATGGCAACACCACCTCTGGCTTGAGTGGTCAAGCTGCAAGGGTGGGAAGGCCTATAAAGTACAGAAGCTGGATAAGCTAGCCACTTCAATACTCTATTGCTTCCTTAAGCAAAGACACAGGGACTTCAAGGGCTAAAGCTAGCAAGATCTTCTCTGGCTGACTTGGAGGGAATCAAAGATAAAATTTCCTGGTGAACCCTAACACAAAGTGAGCTGAAACCAACAATATTAACTTTTTTCTTAGGGGGCAGAATGGAAAGAAAATATCTCCAGGTAAACACGTACATCTGTGGCATAAAGAATATCTACAATCCTTTGCAGTACAGGGTCATTTTCCCCTTCGTTCTCCTGGCAAATCAATTCAATGTTCCTTAGCTTTCCAAAGTAGAAGTCTCTCTCTTTCTCCAAGTCTTCAACAGTAAGTTTCAATACTTTGACCTGCATAAGATATAGAAAACAATGAGCAATGGTGTACCAATAAAATACCAAACCCAAAAATGATGTGGTCTTTGATCAAAATAAAACATAAGCAAAAACCCAGTTCAGTTTAATGTCAATTTTCTTCAGCCTCAGACAAAAAAATATATGAGTCCACAGCAACCTTGACTATGAGTTCCCAAAAAGGGAAAACTACACCTTAAAGTCAGGCATGGTAGCATATGCCTTGAATCCCAGCACTCAGGAGGAAGAGGCAGGCTGACCTCTGTGAATTTGAAACCAGCCTGGTCTACATAGTGAGTTCTAGGACAACCAGGGCTACACAGATAAATCCTGTCTCAAAAAAAAAAAAAAAAAAAAAAAAAAAAAAAAGGAAAGACCAGACCTTAAACTATGAGGGAGCTATTCACTAAGATGGGATCAAAAATGGAAAACTTAAGGCTGCCTGAGATAGGAGTAGAACCCACAACCCGGCTTAGCAAGATGACCAACAATTGTAACTAAGTCCTTACCAGGACGAGAATAGTCAGTCAAATCCAAGACTAGTTGCATGTAGAGCTCAATGGGTTCAGTGGTCCTAATCCCCCTTAAATCACACTAGAGAACTTTAATCCCCAGAGGACATTAAGAAATTAAATTTAAAAATAAATCTTGCTAGGCATGGTAGCACACACCTTTAATCCAAGCACTCAAGATGCAGAAAGGCAGTTGGATCCCTGAATTCAAGGCCAGTTTGGTATACATAGTGAGTTCCAGGCCAATCAGAGCTATATGCCCAGACTCTAACTCAAATAATAATGATTATAAAATAAATAAATCTTGTGACTAGAGAGATGGCTCATTGGCTAAGAGCATTTACTATTCTTGCAAAAACATCGGTTTAGTTCCCAGAAACAACATGGTGGCTCACAACAACCTGTAACTCCAATTCCAGGGAACAGCATATACCACTCTGGCCTCCAGGAGCTCCTGATGAACAGAAACTCACACAGAAACATAACTTTTTTTTTTTTTTTAAGAAAATACAAATCCATATGTATGACATACACACCAGTAATCCCAGAACTTAGGAGTCAGGAAAGTAGATGTCTAGTTCCAAGACAACTTAGGCCACACTCAAGACATTCTAAAGACTTTTTAAAAATATCTCCATGATGTCTTAATGTGGGATCCCTGCTTATCAACAAAGGATGAGTAAGTATTATAAAGTAATTGGCATAGAATACAGTGCTGTCCTCAGCCTAACCAACCTATCTGGCTCCATTTCTCCCATCTGTCAAGGGCTACAAGTTCAAATGCTTTCAGGGTATCACACAGAACATGTAACGGAACAGGGTTCAGACTTGGGGATCCTAAGGAGAGAATAAAGTTCTCCCTTCATATTAATTTGTTTTTAAAGCTTATTCAGGTCAAGAGCCAGGTGTATTGGTTCACACCTGTAAACCCAGCACTTTGAAGGTGAGGTCTGGGCAAGCCTGGACTCCATAAAACTCCAACAAAACCAAAATGGATTTTTTAAAAAAAAGACGTATCAGGCCAAATGTTTGTGGCAAGTACAGACCAGAAGAAAGTGGTTAGCAGAAAGTCAGCCTCCTGACCTCCCACATCCTCAACAGAGACCCACAACTACCTAGAGCTCTAAGTCTTCTCTTCAAACCCATAGCCTATCCAGTCACAACTATTGAAACCTATTTTGAAATTCTCTCCAATGTTTACCATCAGTTTTCCCAGAGCAATGATGATAAATATCTCCAATGCAGCGTGCCAGCAAAGAACCTCAGTGTACCTCCTCAGTTTCCCATTCATCACCAAACCTAGGCTATGCAGCTAGAAGTGAATCCTAACTACAGTGTGTTCATCTGTCAAACCTTACAAAAGTATGGCATAAGCAACTATAAAAACATTAGATGATTCTGTATTTCTGACCACTCTTTACACGCTTGTACTTTCCCCAGCAACTGCTTCCTCTAAAGCAGTGGGTTTTCAACCTTCCTAATGCTATGACCCTTTAATACAGTTCCTCTTGCTGTGGTGAACCCAACCATAAAATTATTTTCATTGCTACCTCATAACTACAATCTGGCTAATGTTAATGAATCACAATGTAAATATTTTTGGAGACAGAGGTTATAGAGAAGGGTCTCAACCCACAGCTTGAGAACCACTACTCTGAAGTTTTAAAGTCTCCTTTTTTATTCATTTCTTCTTTCTCATATAGCCAAAAAGTTCTAACCCATGTAAACTTTTAAAGAACACTACAGCACCTACTCCATTCCATCCAGACAATATGAATAATCAGAACTGTCTTTTGTCCACTGTCATTTATCCCAATGGAATCTGTACCATTCCAGATATTGGGATTACTGTGAACAAATGTTAGCTCCCTCCAGGCATAGTAGTACACATCTGTATTCTCAGCACTTGGAAAGCAGAGGTTGCAGAATGCACACAAGTTCAAGCCAGCCTAGTCTGCATAGTAAAACCCTATCTCAAAAAGGGAAAAAAAAAATGTGTAACAAAAAAAACACCCACAAAGTATCCTCACCCTCACACATAAATTATTCAGTCCAGAGAGGCTAACTGATAAGCACAAATGAAATAATGACAGAGCTTGTCTCAGTTCCTCCTTGTGCTCATCATGAAGAAAATTGTTCCTGCAGAATGCAGGATCAACTTGCCAGCCGTGTGGCCTCAGCTGACCATTCTTTACAATCATATATCCCTGTTCTACTCCACAGCTCACGGCTCACACATGTCAAGAGGACTGATCAGGCAAGCAGAGAAGGCCTGCCCTCATGAGTGAAACAAGGAATCCACAATGACAATGTCAACAACACAGGAGGGTATACCTGCTGCATCAATTCAGCTGCTTCGTCGTCCCCGTTGCCCATACCAGGGTTCTTCCGCACCATCCCTGGGCCAGCCTTAGGAGCTGCAGTAGTTCTCTGTGTTGCAATTGGTCTCTGCGGAGCTGAGAGAAGACTAACCATGTTAAGAAAAATTTCAAAAACAGTCAGAAATACAAAAATGGCAAGAGGTCTGAATCAACTGCGTTCCACAGACAAGTCAGTGAAAGGAACTGATACTAGAGAACCCAGATAAAACAGCACAATAACCCAACACAAAGTAGTTCTTATCCTAGCTGCAGACGTAAAGTAACAATTTTAGCAAGCTCCTTCATGCTGGGGATAGTCCTCCAATAAGATCTTCACTTTCCTGCAGTGAACTGTCAGCTGAAAGGTGTAATCACACTGGTACATACACCTTAACCCACAAGCAAGGCAGTTTCCTGGATCAAAGGCAAACCTTGTATCAAGAACAGATCACAATCCCAGCTAGTACTGAAGTACTGTGCTCCAACTGGAAAACTAGCTCCCTCTAACTCACTGGATTTGGTAAGAAGCTCACAAAGGCTATGAGTAGAGGCCCCCATCCCTTTCCACTGTAACTTCAGAGCTCACCTTCTAGATGTCCACAGAGTCAGGAGAGAAAAACAACCTCAGTAACTAAGATTTACAGATCTCTCAGTGTTTATAGACAAAAGGCAGATGAAACAGAAAAGGATCTGCAAGTTAATACAACTAAGAATGGACTACTTCAAGATAAATGTAACACTCCTGGCTTTAGTTATTCATCTAGCAATTATTCTGTAAAACACAGATATTATGCCAGGCTTAGAAACATCTCATCTTCCCAGCATCCCAAAATCTACAATTGCAGACCTTTTGTCCACAGTCACAGGCATTTCCTTTGGATGGTGCTCTCTGGTACTTGCTTATCCTGAACACTAAATATTTTCTACAAGTCTCTACTCAGTTGTAAGTAGCTTCTGAAGCTTACCTATGTAGTCACCATTCTCAATAGCAAAGGAATAAAAAGTCCATAATTCTGAGGGCAAGCAGAACCCTCCTACACCACTGATGATAAGACACTGCTGATGACAATATGTCAGTGGCCAGCTGCTTTGAAAAACAGGCAACTCTATAAACACTTTCATGTAGCCCAGGAATTCAGCTTCAAAATACACTTCTAGATATACACCCAAGAGAAATAAAAACGTATTCCATACAGAAACTACATGTGAACTTCACAGCAGCATTACTCATAACAGCCAAACACTAGCAACAACTCAAATGACCATCAACAGACAAATGAGGTATTCAAACAATGGAATATTATCCTGCAACAAAAACAGGCTGCTTGGGAGGATAAGGCAAGAATATCACAAGTTCAAGAACCACCTGACAACTTTGTAGAGGCTGTCACAAATTTTTTTTTTTTAAAGTATGGCTGTAGGGGGAGCTGATGTGTTTCAGTAATCTCACACAGTTTCCCTAGCATGCATGAGACAGGACACACACACAACAACAACAACAAAAAGTACCAGCTGGGTGTGGTGATACATAGCTTTAATCCAAGCTTTTGGGAGGCAGAGGCAGACGGTCTCTGAGTTTGAGGCCAGCCTGGTCTACACAGTGAGTTCTAGATGAGCCAGGACTGTTAAAAAGAGAAATCTTGTCTCAGAAAACCAAAACAAGCAAACAAAAAAAATTAACAAATACTACAGCACAGATGAACTTTGAAATTATTGTGCTAAGTAAAGGAAGCCAGATACAAGATGACACATATTCTACAGTTTCATTTATAGAAAAATGTCCAAAATAAGTGAAGCCATAGACAGAAAACAGTTAAGTGAAGGCCTAGAGCAGTTGGAGGAAATGAACAGTGACTGCTATTGAGCCCAAACAGGCTTCTTTTTGGGTGATCAAAATATCCTTAAATTGTCTGTGGTAATAATGGTTAAAATTCTTTGACTTAAAAAAATCTGCCTAAGGCAGCAGTGTACACCTTTAATCCCAGCACTTGGGAGGCAGAGACCAGCCTGGTCTACAAAGTAACAGCCAAACAAACAAATAAAAACACAAGCCAAAAAAAAAAAAAAAGAAAGAAAAGAAAGGTGAGGGGCTTTTCTATGCATTACTGGCTTTCAGTTAGTAAAAATGCTTGCCTCAAAAGTCTTACGACCCAAGTTGTATTCAGAACCTAACAGTGCATGCTTGAAATCCAGTAATTCAGAGACTGAGAAAGACAGATCCCCAGGACTCCCTGGCAAGCCAGCTTAGCCTATTAAACAAGTTCCAGGCCAATGAGATATCTCAAAAAGCAGGTGAATGGTACCCGAGGAATACCCAAGGTTGTCTTTGATCTCCAAATGTACCTGCATATACACAGACACACACACACACTGAGGAGCCAAAGAGATGGTTCCTAAGTTACTAGCACTTGCTGCTCTTTCAGAGGACCTAGTTCAATTCCCAATACCCCCATAGTGGTTCACAACCATCTATAATTCCAGTTCCAGGGAATACAACACCTCCTTCTGACCTCTGAGGACACCCAGCACATGTGTAATACAGACATACATGCAAACAAAACACCTAGACACATTAAATTTTTTTAATTTCTTTTTTTGGTTAAATATTTTAAGACAGTAAAATGTATGGTGTGTGAATTATTTCTCAATAAAGTTATACAAACAAAACTCCAAGAGATGGAGCAGGAGGAACAAAGTTCAAAGTCATCCTTGGCTACATACACAGTGAGTTCAAGGCCAACCTGGGTCAGAGACCCTGCCTCAAAAAAATACCAAAAACCTCCATCTTTAGCAGGGAATGGTAGCCCTGTACATGTTCTATGAATATACTACTAAAAAGACATCTTGGAAAGCCAGATGCCCAAACATTCTCAAGACACTCTCTACCATCCACGTCTCCTCCCTCCTAGACCCTGCTGTCAGCAAAGCTAGCCATAGCAGCTCTCCCATTTGATCTCCATGAAAGAAGTCACAATCCACTGACTGCAAGACCTAGAAAGCTCTTGAGGTCCTAAACTAAAGACTTGACTGTAACTTACCTTCTTGGGTATTTATAAAATGCCCTAACTTCCCATGTCACTAAAGTCTCTTACGTGAGCTAGCATAAGTAAATTCTATTACATACAACAGAAAGCCTTTAGGTAACACAGCACACAGTAACTCATCCAGGTCAGAGCAAGTGTTAACTTCCCACTTTACAAAGGAGGAAGACCTCAGGGCAAGAGTGAACAGGCTCCCACAGAGCTGCGGAGCACAGGCATGTATCTACCACATGAAGAATCCATATCCCTGCCAAAAGCACAGGGCAGATCTATGGTTACTCAAATCTCCTGATTTAGGGCTACAGCATAGTTCTATGTGGAGCAGCACCTGTCCCCAATGTTGAATGAGTGGAACTATTGGAACCGGGGTAATGGTTGTTTACCTGCACTGCCGGAGCTGAGAGGTTTCTTCGGTTTACTCAGAGCTGGAGCGACAAGAGAAGGAGCCACTGCAGTTTCTTGACCTTGTCTGGCAGCTACAGGGTCATACTCTTTTCCATCATAATTTGCATCAAAAAACTTCTTGAACCACTGAACGAACTCAAAATTGTCCTGAAATTTTCCTTTTACTAATTTATCCACAGGAATTATCTGCAGAGAAAAAATCAGGACTGTTTAGACCAAAGCAGAGGCTTTGGCAAGCATCAAACCTGCCCCATTCATCACAACAACACAAGTTCTGCCAAAATGAGGAAATGTTGGAGAGGTCTTACTGCTAAGATCAGTCTGCCTTCAATACAGTACCAATCCCTACCTAGTCAGTCCTCCAAACTCTTGAGAATGAATGTTGATCAAAAAAGGAACAAGAACCAGGATATGGTTCAGTGCCTGCCTGGCTACATAAGGCCTTGTGCTGCAACCTCTGCACCACTGTGGAACCAGTATCAGCAAAGTCACAGCCACACATCAAGACACAATGAAAGGCAGCAGAAGTTTCACGGTACCATAAAAGAGAAATCCCATGGCTGGATGAAAACTCTGGGAGCTGAAACAGGAGCATGTCAAACCCGAGGTCAGCCTAGGCTACAAAGTAAGACTCTATCTAGAAAGGGAGGGAAGAGAATGGGAGGGAGATGAAGGAGGGAGGGAGGCAGATGAGGGAGGGAGGGAGGGAGGGAGGAAGAGAGAGAGGGAGGAAGGGAAGGGAAAAAACAAATCATAATGCAGAATCAAGTACAATATATTTTATAGAAGTAAATCTAGAAATTAAGTTAGGCCTCAGACTAGTAGAGAATAAATAATACCTAAAAAACAAGACCAAAAAAACCACCAGCATGTGCTGCCGAATATTTTTGTACACTGTGAAGAATTGTCACTCGGATTAGTTTAATAAAAAGCTACACATCCATTGTTCTGACTCAGGCCCCCCTGAATATGGGTCTCAGCCAGAAGGACTGAGCAGTCTAAGGGACCTCAGACAGTGGAGCCAGGATGTATCCCTGGAGCACAAAAGGACCTTGTGAACACACCCCCCATGGAGGGATAACTGCCTTAACCTAGAGACAGGAGAGAAGCCCTAGTCCCTACTTCACATGACCTGTCAGACCTACATGACCCCAACTGGATGGCATTCCCCTACATATGGAATTGGGGTGGGGGGATGGGAGGGGAGGGAGGTTAGGGTGCATGTGAGAGGGCAGAGAGAGTAAAAGGGAGGGGAGGGAGAACTGGGATCGACAGGTTAAATAATAAATTAAATAAATAAAAAAAAAAAAAAGCTAAACATCCAATAGCTAGGCAGGATTTTCAGGGCAGAGTGAACACTGGGAAGGTGGAGTCACCAGCAGACACAGAGGGAACAGACATGTAGGAAAAGAGGTAAAAGCCACCAGTCATATGGCAACACATAGATAAATAGAAATAGGTTAATTTAAGTTGTAAAAACTAGGTAGAAACAAGCTAAGCTAAGGTCAAGCTTTCATAATTAATAAGAAGTCCCTGTGTCATTTATTTGGGAGCTGGCTGATGGGACAAAGAAAGACTCACAAGTATGACACAGGACCAGTGAGACGGTTTGGTGGGGTAAAGGCACTGTCACACATGCACACACATGCATGCACTCATGCACTCTTTCTCCTCTTTCTCTCAATAAACTAGAACACAAGAAAGTTTTAGGGGCTGGAGAGACCACTGAATGAGTAAAGGCGCTTGCTGCTCTTGCAGAGGACCTGAGTTTGGTTCCTAGCATCTGAATGGTGCCTCATAGCCACTTCCAATTCCAGGGGCTCTAGCCCCCTCTTCTGACCTCCACAGGCAGCCTGCACACATGGTACAATACATATATACATGCAAGCAAAAAACTCATACACACAGAATAAGTAAGTCTTTTAAATTTTATTTCAAAACAGTGGTTCAGATTTAAGGCTGATTGTTCCAAACCATTATTAAATTCAGATAATAAAGAAAGAAGACAGTGAAGGAAGTAGAAGAAGGAGGTGAAGGAAAACCTGGTTCCCTATACATCCTGTTAACTAGAAATAAGAGGTAACATAAATTGAAAAGAGAAAATGCCCAGTCCACAGAGTGCCTCACCCCTGTAATCCCATCGCTCAGGAAGCTGAAGTAGGAAGACCACCATGAATTCAAAGCCTGAGTTAAACAGACTTACAAAAATAATTTTAAAAGGGCCAGCAAAGCCGGGTGTGGTGGCACACGCCTTTAATCCCAGTACTTGAGAGGAAGAGGCAAACAGATCTCTGTGAAACTGAGACCAGCCTGGTCTACACAGTGAGTTCCAGTACAGCCAGGACTATATAGAAAGACCCTGTTCCAAAAAAAAAACAAACAAACAAACAAAAAAAAAAAACCAAAGGGGGTGGGTTGCATAGATATGGCTCAATGGGTAAAGACAATGCTGCCAAGCCTGATTGATTTCCCCCAGTTATCCTCTTGCACGTGCCATGTATAAGAACACACACATACACACAAATCTTTTTGTTAAAGATATCTAAAACTTAAAACAATTTAAAGATAAGAAAGTAACCTAAACAAAGGAATAAAGCTTACTTACTTTGTCAACACCCATCCTCTTGAATCCTGCTTGCAATATTTTGAAGTTCTGGATATATTCATGTTCTAGCTTAGCCTGGAATTTCACTTTCTTCAAAGCAATGGAGCCAGGGAAGAGCATGTCCATGAACTGACAGTATGCAGCCCCTGATCAACAATGACACAAAAACAAAAATTCAATGAACTGGGTCATGAATGCCACTTTTTCTCCACGGACAGACAGAATCTCACTACGTAGCCTTGGCTGGCCTGAAACTCTAAATGTAGACAGACTAGCCTTGGACTCAGAGATCCACCTGCCTCTGCCTCTGCCTCCTGAGTGCTAGGATAAAAGGTATGCACCATTATGGCCCACTCTAAATACTACTAGTAAAAAAGCATGGTCATCCACATCTATTTAACTCAAATACAATTTGTTAGCGACAACTCTCATGTAGCCTAGACTAGGCCCAAACTCAAATAAGTGAAGATAACCTAGAATTTATGATCCTTCTGCCTCCACTTCCTGAGTGCAAAGACTTTTAAGCATGAGACAACATATCCCATTATATGAGTGGAGCTCAGGATGAAACCCAGGGCTTACATGTACTAGTCAAGTACTCTACATTCACAGGCCCCAAATACAATTTAAATTTGTACAGTGGACCATAGACAACCAAAAAGATGGAGCTACAAAGACAGCTCAGTGGTTAAGAACATACACAGCTCCTGCAGTAGACCCCAGTGTAATTCCCAATAGCCATGTCAGGTGGCTTTTAATCACCTCTCACTTCAGCTCCAGGAAAATCTCATGACTCTGTGCGCAAGAGCACACATGTGCACAAACACACACACATAAGTAACAGACCAAATATTTTTTCTGGTGGAAGGGGGATTGTTATATGAATGCAAAAATCAATTTTTAAAAACCTATTAACAAAAGGCTGCTGATGTCTCAGCAGTTAAAGCGCACTGGGTGCTCCTGTGGAGGACCTGGGTTTGATCCCCAGCATCCACTCTCACAACTGTCTCTAACGCCATTTTCCTGGGGATCCAATGACCTCTTCTGGCACCAAGCCTACACATGTATGATGTACAGACATGCAGGTAACACACTCATTCACACAATTTTTTTTTACTCTATTAACAAAATGACAAGGGGTCATATGTTTGGTTCTGGAAATATGTAGCTCTGGCAGACCTGGAACTTACTATGGGGCCCAGGCTGGCCATAAGCTCATAGCAATCCCACTGCCCCAACCTCTGAAATGCTAACTCAAAGCTGGTTTGACAAATTCTTTAACAAAGTTTCAATTTCATAGAAATTCTCATAAATAACCACTAGAAAGAAAAATGAATTTCCAGAACAACAAAAAGGAAAAAAGAGGCAATACATCTTCTAAATCTTCACAAAGATACAGTCACTCTTCTCCACATGAGCACAGAGGATTTCACAGATCTCTCTTCTGAACTAGCAGAAAACTGGAGGAGATGGATGTAGTGGTACAAACCTATAACTCCAGCACCTAGAGAAGCTGAGGCAAGTGACTTGGTCCAGTGAAATGGCTCAGTACCTAAAGGTGCTGGCTATGCAAGTCTAGAGATTTGAGTTCTATCCCTGGAAGCCAGGTAAACATAGAAAGAGAACAAATACCACCGTGCCCTCATGGCACATGCATGCCCACACACATACACCATACACACACATAGTTTTTGTTTTATTTTGAGACAGAGTCTTACTATGTAGACCAGGCTGGCCTTAAACCCACAGAGATCTGCCTGCTTCTGCCTCTTAAGTATTAAAGCCATGCCAACACCACACCCAACACAATATTTTTTTCTTACAGCTAAATAGCAAACAAATATACTAACCAACCAACTACTTAGCAGAAGTCACCTGCCTCTTAGCAAGTTATCTGCTTAAAAAACAAAACAAAACAACAACAAAAAAAAACCCATTAGTTTTTTAGAACTCGAAAGAATCCAAGAATCCTTAGAAATATTATAACTTTTAAAAACTAAATATGAGAGTCCCTGGGTATGTATGTAGCTCGGTGACAGAGTACTTGCCAAGCACAAGGACTCTGAGTTCAAGCCCCAACACACACACAAAAAAAAAGAAATTTAAAAACAAGGACCAAAATAGGTGGCCCAATAAATATCACAGAGGCCAGAGACCAACCCTGGCATTACATCAAGATCCTGATTCCCAAGCATTATTCACACCATACTGTTGGGAAAAAGCATTTTTCTCTAGGAGGAGTATACCATTATTGGCTATACTCTCATTGATCAAAAGTGTTAATAGGGGGCTGGAGAGATGGCTCAGAGGTTAAGAGCACTGGCTGCTCTTCCAGAGGTCCTGAGTTCAATTCCCAGCAACCACATGGTGGCTCACAACCATCTATAATGAGATCTGGTGCCCTCTTCTGGCATGAGGGCATACATGCAGACAGAATATTGTGTATATGATAAATAAATAAATGAATAAATAAATAAATCTTTTAAAAAAAGTGTTAATAAACTGAAGGGGGAAAAAATTAAGGTCCCACAAAAAGAGATGGGAATAGAGCTTTCAGTTATATACAGAATCCAGGAGATTTTGTTTGTTTGTTTGGTTGGTTGGTTGGTTGGTTGGTTGGTTGGTTGACTGGTGTAGAGACGGGATCTTGCTATGTAGCCCAGGCTGGTCTGAAACTTTCAATAAATCCTCCTCCCCTGCAACTCTCAAATGCTGAGTTTGCAGATATGGACCACCATGTCCAATCCTCCTACCCTTTTCAAAAATGTTTCACCTAAGGGGGAAAAAAAAAATCAAGTTAAAAGGGAGGAGTCTTTTCTAGTCTCTGAATGACAAAGGCAGCTGAGACTAGGGCAAAAGCTGAAAACTCAAGCAGCGCTTCAAGATCACCCAACAATCTTCAGCAAGAACAGTCCACTCAGTACCTGGCTTGGTTCAGTTCAGGGCACTCTTGGAAAGTTTAATGAAAATCCTAGCCAATATTCACTTACTTACACTAGGCTTGATGATACACATCTGTAATCCCAGAACTCAGGAAGCTATAAAAAGGTGGATCAGGAGTTCAAGACCCAGAAAAGGTCAGATACAATGTATCTGTAATCCCAGCAATCCTACAGCAGACAGGAAGGGGTCACAGGGAATCAGATGGAAGCTGTGGACCCAGCAAGCCTGGAGTACACAGTGGCAGAAAAGAGAGAAAACCCTGCCTCAAGTAGATAGAAGAGAATCAACTCAAGACCTGTCCTCTGACCTCCACAGGTACACCATAGCACACCAGACCCCTCACACCCATACAGCACACACAAAGTAAGTCACTCCAGTGTTTTAATATTAACATACACAAAACACAAGACTACTAAAAGTCTTTAGACTTCAAAAAGCACATGCTACTTGATCATCTTAGATGATAAATAAAAGAGAGAGGGCTGGAGTCATTAATACAGATCATAAAATTCAAGCTTAAGTCTTACCCCATCTGAATGGAGATGGAGGAGATGGGTGGTAGAAGGGAGGTTGGGGAAAGGAATGGGGAGGAGAGGAGGGAGGAGAAACTGTGCTTGTTATGTAAAATAATTTTTTAAAATGATGAGAAAAAAAATTCAAGCTCAAAATATTTTAACAAAAGAAAATACTATTTTGATTTTTAAAGCAGTAAATAGAATTGTTTAAACAGCATTTGCTTTTGCTTATGTTACTCATTGTTAACAGTCTGAGGTACAAGAAACTAGAAACAAACTAAACATCCAATCCACCAACAGAAGACTGATACAAAGAAATTAATAGTATTGCCCACCAGACACAAGGAAGCAAAAAGCAACTCAGGGCTCCTTCTGAACAAAAGCAAGCTTGCTGTCAAAAATCACTGTGATGTCAAAATCATTCTGTATGAAGATGATTCCTTCTCTGATGGTATCTGCAATAGACTTAACTGGACAGCACTCCCAAGTTGATCCCCAACAGGACACAAGAAGCCTCTTGAATCAACCTGCCAGTGTCACAGAAATTCTTCTCATTCTTTCTCACTTCCAGAGCCATGCAAGGGCTCCTTACTCTGTGGCAGATGGGGAGCTAAAGGTACTGATGGCTCTCAATTTACAGCCAGCAGCACATTTACAGGAAAGGACCCCCAGCTTTGTACTTTCAGAGAAAAATCTATCTTTACCTCCTAAAGACTGTGCAGGTGGGAATTTCTGGTCTTTTTGACCAGCTGCTTATGAGAAGTTCAGTAAGGAAGAATCAGCCCTGGTGCTGAAGGTTTTAGACACACAGGATCTGAGAAGCACCCCCCCCCCAACTCTTCAGGAATAGTTGGCAGCTTCTCCTGTGTGGTTCTACAAGTGAGAGCTGCTTTCAAAACACCAATGTGAAATACAATGCAACCACCTACATATCCCAAGAGCCATCCCACACAGCTTTCAAGAGGACAACTAGCAATGAATACAATTTACTAACACATCAGCTAAATGTCTTGCACTCGACACTTTCTACTAAGGAAAACCCTCTTATCTGGGATAAGAATAGTGGCAGGAGCCAGAAAGCTGAAATACTTCAGAGTTTATGGTAAAACAGTATCATTATAACTAATTATATACAATTATATTTGTTCTATTCTGTTCCAAATACCTCTTTAAAAATGTAACACATGCCATGAAAATCAATCCCACATGTGTAATATCATATAGGCAATCCCAACCTGTGTGAAGCAGAGGCAGAGACCCTTGGCTACAGAATAAAACTTTGTCTCTAAAAATGGTAGGGTGGGGGCACTAGAGAGATGGCTCAATAATTAAGAGCACTGGCTGCTCTTTCAGAGAACTCACTTCCCTGCAGCTCACAAGCATCTGTAACTCTGGCTCCAAGTATCCAAATGTCCTCCTAGTTTTAATAGGCATCCATGCATAACACACACACACACACACACACACACACATACACACACACGTTCAAACTCAGGCTCTGCAATGTCTAAATTATGCCCCATAGGCAATCTCCTCATCTTTAAAATGAAAAAAATCTCTATTCATCCCCAGGGTCTGTCAGATAATCAACAATATTATAGGGGACCCTGACAGCAGCCAGGGTGGTAGGCCAGGAATACTACCCAGTTCACAGCTGATTAAACAGTTCTAGAAAATCATCAAAGAATTCACCCAAGGTCACATGGCTCAGAGCAGACTAAAGGCCTTTTCATGCGATGACATGCCCATGCCTCCCTGCCTAAATAAGAGAAGCCTGGGGCCAGATTGGGACATGCACAACTTATCTACACAGGAAGAGATGCATCTTCTAATTAAGTGAGAAATATTTTGGACTGTATAGACAGAAAGAAAGTTTAGGGGGAAACTGCTGGTGAACAAACACGGTCTCCAATGAAAATGGTGATGACCTCACCCCCACATTACTCACAGCATGGGGAAAACAAGTGCTTTAAAAAGCCTCCAACAAACTGTGGCACAGCAATAAAAAGCTGAGAAAATGAATAGGGAATAGAGGACAGCAGCACAAATCTGAGGCAAAAACTACTTTATAACAAAATAAGGTTAATAAAGGCCATTCATTCTTGGGACCACTAGTCCCATTCTTCCTGTACCACCTCCCTCTGGACAACTGTAAAACAGACTGGACCTCACAGGGCAAATGAGGCAAATGAAACCAAGACAAGAGGAGGAGCCCCTCCCCCCCCCAAAAAAAAAGGAAGTGCAAAAGCTGAGCACCAGAGGAAGCTGCTAAGGAATGGCAATCTCTTTAAATCAACCCAAATGGCACCAGTCAGTTAAGAAAAAATCCAATGCTAATAGAGTATAGGGACTAAAGAATACAGGTTCTTTGATTTGGAAAAAGGTTCAAATCCCCATTGTGCTCTTGGTTCTATATGCCTAGATTCATTATTCAAATTCTCTAAGCCATCTTTCCCATCTGAAATCAGAGGTACCTCCACCTTCCTCTTGGAAATACAGTGATTAAATGGAGATGTCTGAGAAGTGTTTACAGCTGAGCCTGGTTGTCCAGGCTGTCTGTAATCCCGGCATTTAGGAAGCTGAGATAGAAGGATCGTAAATTCTAGGCTCCTTGGTGAGTTAAAGCCAGACTGAGACATTTAGGAGGAATTGCCTCAAAATTAAAAAAAGGCTGGGGCTCAATGGCAGCGCACTTGCACAGCATGTGTTAAGTCCTATGCTTAATCACTAGTACCAAAAAAAGTTATTTACTAGAAGAAGCAAGTTTCTGATTCTGTGTCTTATTAATAAGACCCCACACACAAACCATGCTGGGGACCGAACCCAGACTTGGGCATCTTACCCAAGTGCTTTTCCTCTGCATTACATCCATATCAATTAAGATTTTCACTAGAGGAAAATATCCCTCCCCCACTCCTATATGTGGTAGGGGGTTGTTTTTGTTTTTGAGAAGTTTCACCTTGTAGTCTTAGCTGGCCTAGTCCTTGCTACATACGATATGTAGACCAAGCTGGCCTTGAACTCAGAGATCTGCCTGCCTCTGACTCCCAAATAATAGGATTGAAAATATATACCATCACACCCAGCTCTGGGGGGCGCGTGTGTGTGTGTGTGTGTGTGTGTGTGTGTGTGTGTGTGTGTGTGTGTGTGTGTGTGTGTTCATTCTTGAATTCATCTACTACCTGTGGAAGATCCTGTTTTACAGCACTGACATGCAAGTCTGAGGAGATGGCTCAGTGGGTAAGAGCACTTGCTCAAGAAGCACAATGGAGAATATCTAAGTTTAAATCCTTAACACCCATGTTAAGAGCCAGGGAGTGGTGTACATGCCTATAACCCTAGCATTGGGGGATAGATAGGCGAATCAAGACCTCACCAGTCAGCCTCTCCCGGACTGAAAGCCTAGCCAAAACAGCAAGCTTCTACCTCCAGATCTCCAGTTCAGTGACAGACCCTGTCTCAAAGCAATCAAGTGGAGAACAACAGACAAGACACTGATTATCTTGATCTCCACATGGAAGCACACAGATGGTCACACCCTCACACTCCTCGGCAATCAAACCCAATGCTCTGTGAATGCTAGGCAAGTACTCTATCAACTGAGCCACACCTCACAGCACTAAGTACGGATAAAGATGAAAGAAACTATAATCTCTCTTTGTGGCTCTATATAGAGGCCTGTGCAAACCCTAAGGCCAGACCCTATGTGCTTTTAAAAGGTGATCTAGTGAGCCAGGTGCAGTGGTGCACACTTTAATCCCAGAACTAACGAGGCAGAGGTGAGTGGATACTGGAGTTCAAAGCCAGTCTGGTCTAGAGTTCCAGGACAGCCAAAGCTACACAGGGAAATATTGTCTTTAAAGGGGAGATGGGAGGGTGTCTAGTAGATTCCTCTTACCTGAACACAACTGTTCTATCTTTGTCAGATTCAGCTGCAGAGATTCATTGATCCAAGCCAGCATGTCATGTCGACTTAGGTTATCACTGGTGACTGACGTCGAGTACACATTCACTGCCATCTTCTGCAACGAACAATCAAAGAGAGAAGGCTCCTGTTATGGGGAGCATTGAATAAGGGCAAGCAGTTCCTAGGGTCACCCACAACAAATCTGTACAAATTCTCAATTTCAAGCCCAGCCTTCTTCCCCGAGAGATGAAACCAGACACTAAGATTCCAGTCATAAGCCAGAGTCCCATGCATAACATAACCTGAAATGAACGCCCCCAAAATAGTCAGTCTAAAACCTAGGCCCCATGTTAGTAAGATTGATATACAAGTACAAGCCACAAAAGACACTAAGAGATCAGCACTTTATAAAGGGAGGCTATAGAATATTCCTTTACACTGTGTGAATATATGTCACTGTGATTGGTTTAATAAAGAACCTGACTGGCCAATAGCTGAACAGAATAAGGTTAGGTGGGAGCCAAACTGAGAATGCTGGGGGGAAGAAGGGCAGAATCTGAGGAGTATCAAGCGAACACAGAGAGAAACAAGATGGGCATGCCATACTGAGAAAAGGTACCAAGCCACACGGCAAGGCACAGATAAGAAATACAGGTTAATTTAAAAATGCAAGAGTTAGCTAGTACTAAGCTTGAGCTATTTGGCCAAGCATTTATAGTGATTATAAGCCTCAGTGTGTTTATTTGGGAGCTGCTGGTGGGACAGAAACTTCTACCTACATAAGGCTGATGCACAAACAACAAACATTCTGCTCAAAACCACTAGTCCAATGGCTGTGGGGGTAGCTCAAAGTAATAGAACATGTGTTCTGCATGCATGATGCCTTGCTCAATTATCAGCACCAATAAATAAATAACCCACCACCAGGTGGGCATGGTGGAAGCCTAACTGTATTCAAGAGGCTGAGGTAGGACAACCTCAAGTTCCAGGCCAGCACCAACTACAAAGTAAGACCTTGTCTCAAGTCATCATCAACAACAACACATACACCAAGGGCTATGGGCAATGCTCACCATGACAGTGCTTTGCACCAAGCCCTGGGCCAATCCCTAGCAATACCTATCTACTTTCCAATAACCTAGGTACTGCAACAGGCGAGGTCAAATGACAACCTCTCAAAGTCCTTGGCTCCTACTCTTTCTCTGGAGGAACTAGAGGGTACCTGAACACCAACAAAGTATGAAACCTCTCAAAGACACCTGTTATTGAACTGACAATCCTCTTCAAGGCCCACTTCACTCTCTTCATTTCAGTAGTGAAGAAAGGAGGCCCTTAGTATTTACAGCCAAGCCTGCCCAGCCTCGTTTTCCCATTTCTCAGAAAATGCTGCCCCCTCACCTTTCAGCCAGACTCCTGAAATAACCTTTTTATTTGGGGATGCAGATCTTGCCATGTTGCACAGTCAAGCCTCAAACTTGTAGACTTATGTTATCCTCTTGCCTCAGGCTTGGGAGCAGTTGGGACTACATGCACCAATCATTATATTCAACTATAAATCTCATTTAAGGCACTAATAAATGTGGGTGCTATACTCTATGAATTCCCATTCAACCATCCCTCATTTTTAATTTACTGTGTTTTTGTGTGCATATATACCCGTATGTATGGAGGGCTAAGGAAAACTTCCATAAACTGGTTATCTTACCATGTGGTTCCCAAGCTCAAATTCAACTGGTCAGGCATGGTGTGGCAAGAACCTTTACCTGCTGAGCCATTTCCCTAGCCCCAAACAGTAGGTTTTATAGTGCCCCTAACACTTAGAATTGTCCTAATTCCCTGAGACAGCAGCCTTGCCAATGGAATTGGGATAGAATTCACAGCAATTTACAACAACCATGAGACCCCAGCCCTTAGCTCTCCTAGGGCGCTTCACCCCTCCATCTAGTAACTAGTGTCTGAGGGGCTCTTCCTACTCTCATTCACTGTATGGTGCTGCTGCCTGCCTTGAGTCACACACACGCTCTAGACTGAGAACCAAAGATGGGGTTCCCTCTCCCACTGTTCTTATAAGCAGTGGTGACTAGGTCTGCAGACACGGATAACTTGGCAGTCTATGCCCGATCTCCCTGTCTTCTCCCCTACCCCCACAACCGCACATTTCACACAGTGCCTTGAACAGAGTGAGTGCTTGGTAAATGTTACTTGTTTCAGACCGTGGAGGAGGAAAGAGTGAAGAATACATAAATTCTTTTCAGAAAGCTACCTACCAACACTCACTACCTCCCTGAAAGCTGACAGAACTAGCAAGGAAGCAGAACAGTTTAGTTCCTCATTCCGGGTAAATCATTCCTTGTGCTTCATTCAAACCTCTGGGACTTCAATTATCACACGAAAATTGACATTAATCCTTCAATTTTGAGCTTCCCCAGCCAGATTTAGGCCAGGAGGCAACTGGAGGACCTGGGCTTAAATGTGACTTTGGGCAAGTTAGTGAACTCAGTAACTAAATTAATACAACCATCTGAAAAGGATCTCAGAGAGCTATATGAAACACGGAACATAACATAACTGGCATTATATCAAACACAAGCCATAGGAACAAGCAGGGTCCAGGTAGGGACCGCCCTCTTTCATGCTATCTTCGGTGCTGAGAACCGTGCCTGATATCTGCTGCCAACACCTCAAGACCCTCTGCAAGTCCTCAAATTAGTCTGTCTCAATCTGTTCCTACATGGCAGCCAGAAAGAATTTTCTGAATCACAAATCACATGAGGTATTTCTCTGTTTAAAAATCCCTGAACAAGTAAAATGCATACTGTGTGCAGAATGCTAATATCAAGTACCAATGAGAACCACCCAAACAAAATGACATGATCCCAGGCTGAATACTTACAATCTATCTTGGGCATACATGTATACATTGGGTATTGTGTGTCTCATGCTACCACAAAATGAAAGCAGCTGGTAAAGCCACATGTGTCTCCTGACCACACCCCAGCTCAGAAAAGGTTAATGGCCCTTCACCATCATGTCATTTCAAACTCTTTCATTAGCAGTACATTAATACTAGGTCCCATGTGCTCCACAAACTCTGTAGCCACTAAATACATGGGATTAGGCACCCTGTGGATGTGCAATAAGCATCCACTCACTCAGCCAATTAATTGGCTCTTCCAGGCAGTCAAAACAGAGACTGGTTCTCAGGGCTAAGCTGTCACCCTCACTCTTTCTGGTACGAATATCTGAGCCAGAAGTCAGGGCCCATGCCTATAAACCTAAACACTCACAAAGCTGAGGCAGAAAGATCACTCCACGTCCAGGACACCAGGGCCACACAGTGTACTCTAGGCCAGCCTGGGCTACAGAGTTCAGATCCTGCTCCAAAAAGTAACAAAGATGTCCACTAAGGCTTAGCCTTAATGCAAGCCCCTGGGTACAACACACCCTACCCTTTCAGGGCTCCTTGAGCTAGGTATAACCACAGTGAAAAATCCCCTTCCCACCTACTCAAGTGTCTCCCTCTCCCTTCAGTTACACTCCTGGGAGTCTCCCTAACTGATTCTATTCTGCTCTTTCATACAATAGCTCAACAACTAGCTCTGAAGCTAGATGACCTTGAATTCCTCATTCTCCTGCCTCCACCTCCCAAGATAAGAGTCAAGGAGCCACCACGCCTGGCTCCCCAACTCATTCCAATTCAGAGTAGGCTAAAGAACTAGGTATTCCTCCTCTCCAAGTACCATCCTGGGTCCTATGAAAAGTCTGGAGGGACTCAATGAAACACTTCTCCTCTCCTCAGAAATGGCTCACCTGTAAAACAGGCAAGACCCTACCTTCTGTACAAAGCTGTGGTAAGGACTGAGTAAGAATCCAAGTGAACACCCCTAACAGTAAAGAACCCTAGTGTCCATGTGTGGCACTTTGACACAAAAGGCACGCCAGTATAAAATACCCTTTCTAGAGGGGGGAGAAGGAGTAACACAAGGGTTATGAATGGAATTGAGTTACTTGCTGGACAACATAAGGCAAGTCATTCCACTACCTAGTCTCAGACTTGCCTCTGCAAAAATGTCGATGAGCAGAGGGTAGCTCAGTGACACAGTGTGTGTGTGTGCCCAATGTGGACGGTGAGGGAACTGGAGTCAACTCCCAGCACCACAAAAAAAGTAAAAAATAAATAAAACGAACAAAATACAATAGAAAGAAAATGAAGATAATATATCTTCAAGACAATGAATGTGACTATGAAATGACACAATGCTAAATCAAGCTTTAATGCCACTATCCACAGCAAGTGCCCGTTAAAGAGCTATCTCGATTAATGCTCTTCAAGACATCCATCCCATCTTGGACAGACATCAGGCCTAGCTTAACTTCCCTCAATGGACCTGCCTCCAGATCCTCATCTCCAGGGGGCAGAGGTCAGACTGCACCCTGCAGTACTGGTATCACCCTTTTACAGTAATTATAGAAATTATCTTGGCCGTGTATTCATTTTCTGGCTTCCTAGCTCTCTGCCCACAAATCAGACTCCTAGAAAGCATGTCTTTGCCTGTCCACTCCCTGATGGAACCGAGGCCTGGCATCTACTAGGCACTCAACAAACACCGGCTGACCGCCTTACTTTTGCCAGGCGCCGCGCTAAGACCTTTCTATGTCTCATCCTACTGCCCCCATTTTACAGATGAGGAAACTGAGGCACAGGAAGGCTGAAGCATCTGCCTAAGGTCGCACTCTGGGGTCCAACTCCGCAGACCAACTCCCCACCCATTATGCAACGACGCTTCCTACACCGAGGGTCCCCGCCTCACCCCTCGTGCACACCCTCCGGGCTCTGCAGTACAGCCGGGACCTCGCCGGTCGCCCCTGAGCAGCCCCCACTTCCGGCCCACGCCCCGCCCCCGGGACAACGGAGCGCGCGCCCCCGGCCCAGGCCGCGCGCCGGGTCACGGCCCCGCCCTTCCCCCCCACCGCCCGCGCGGCGCCGCGCCGCTCACGAGGGCCGCCTCCCGTGAGTTCCCGACCGCTGCCGCCGCCCGGGGCCGCCAGCCGCCTCACCGGCTCTCGGGGAACCCGCGTCCACTGACCGCGCGCCCGGCTCCGGTTCCGTCTTCGTCTCGTTCAAACCGTCGGACCCCGCCCGCCCGCGCGCAATTACCTCACACGCACCCTGCCGTGACGCGCCGACGCACGGGCTCGTCATCGCCCGCCCGGCCTTTTATAGAGACGGACTGGCCCGCGCGCCGGAGGCGGGGCCGAGCCCTTGATCGACAGCTGGAGCGCCCCGGGGGTGGGGAGCAAGCCTGTTGGGCACGTGATCGGTTGCGGCCAATGAAGTGTGAGTCCTCTTAGGAGGCGGGGTCCGGTTGCACATTTAGGTTCTCTATAGCCCAGAAGAAAATTGATTTGACCAAGGTGGATTATTGAATGGGCTCGGGATGGAGTTTGGTTGACGCTCGCTTAGCATGCATGAATCCCTGGATTCGGTCCCCAACACGGCAGGAACCGGCTGTGGAGGAGCACATTCCAGCAACTCGTTTGTCATCATCCCAGACCCACTGGGAGTTCAGCTTGGGATACTTGAGACCCGGTCTCAGAGAGAAAAAAGAAGAAACCGGGATGATGGGCGACTCCTGCACACCAGGACAGAAAAGACAATCGCTGCGAATTCAAGGCCAGCCTGGTTTACATAGAAACTGGCTATCCGGAGCTACACAGAGAGATCCGTTCTCAAAACTAAAAAAAAAAAAAGGGGGGGGGCATCGAAATGGTTCAGCAGGCACATGCCACCAAACCTGACATGAGTTCGATCCCCAAGACCCACAAAGAGCAAGTGAGAACCGAATCCTGCGAGTTGTCCTCTGACTTCCACATACGTGCGGTGGCTCTCAGATGCCTGCACACACACAGTGGGAGACAGGCAGACAGACACAAATATGCACACAAATAAATGTGAAAAAATAAAGATGGATTAGCCTGATGTGGCCAAAGCAATTTAGGGAGTAAAGTGTTTATTTAGCTTACACTTCCATTCACTGTTCATCATGGAAGGAAGTCAGGACAGGAACTAAAACAGGGCAGGAACCTAGAGTCAGGAATAGATGCACAGGTCATCAAGGGGTTCTGCTTACCGAGGCTTGCTCAGCCTGCTTTCTTATAAAACCCAGGACCACCAGCCCAGCAGTGACCCCACCCACAATGGGCTGGGCCGTCCTTGTACCCTCAAGCTTGCCTATAAGCAGATCTTGTGGAGATGTTTTCTCAGTTGAGGTTCCCTCCTCTCAGATGGCCTTAGCTTGCGTCAAGTGGACATAGAATTATACAGCACAGCACCTTAATCAAAAACCTGTGTCACCTCATGGGAGTGCCTGCGCTATCATGCCGTTTATTCTTAGCACTTCAATAGAAGTTTCCTTGCTTTCCCTGCCTTTACCTTCTGCCTTCCCACAGTGAAGCTTTCCTATTCTGGGTCCAGGCTGTGTCTCAGAGCTTGTATGAAGTGTCTTGATGAAAGGATGAACGAAACTACTCCACAGAAGAGGAAACAGGCTCGGAGAAGCCAGGTGACTTGCCCAGAATCAGAGTTGGATCTAGGTCTCAGAATGATTTCTTTGTCTCAATAGTACTTATTTATATACTTCACATTTTTTAAGAGTCTAATATAGCCCAGACTAGTCTCCAACTTCCTCTGTTACTGAGGATAACCTTGAACTCCTGACCCTCCTGTTGCTACTTTCCAAATGCTGGGATTACAGGCCTATACCACCAAGCCTGGCTACAAACATTTATTTTCTTTGACCAAACAGGCCCTAGGCATTTGATGGTGAGCTAAAACCAAACATAGCCTCTGACCTAAGTTTCTACTGTGGCAAAGGAGGCAGAGTGGACATGAGTGATTCGAATCTTCATCTAAAACAGATCAGATTGAGGGCTAAGCAAAGTGTATAACAAGGCTCCCAGAAAGTCTGGCCCTAGTCTCGATTACCGGATCCCACGGGATTTTTCTAAGAATGGCTAGAAATCTGACAAGGTAGCAGGGAATGCCTTACTGATGATGATCCTCCTGCCTCCACCTCCCGAGTGCTGGGATTACAGTTGTATACCACCACACCCATTTTATGTGATACTGGGGATCAAACACAGGCCTTTGGGCATACTAGGTGAGCACGCTATCAGCTGCATTCCCAGCCTGCTCACTGATCGTTTCCATGGTAGGTAGAACTCAAGCATATCCCAAGAGACCCAACTTCATTTTGCAGCATAGGAAGATGTCCCAAAGTTGACATTAGTCCCAAAAGATGAGCTATTACCATTATAAAAGGGTTAATATAGGGAAATACCAGCCAGAGGAAATAGCAGAGCATGGTGTGATACCAGAATTTAGGAAGATCAGGAACTCTAAGTACTGCCTAGGCTACATGTGACTCTCTTTAAAAGAAACACACATACACACACACACACACACACACACACACACACACCCCTGAGGCATTTTTGTTTCTGTTGCTGCTGCTGGAGTCAGAGTCCCACTGTGTAGCCCAGACAGGAATTCACTCTATATACCATGCTGTCTTCCATCTTGCATAAATATTCCTGCCTCTGCCTCCCAAGTGCCAAGATTGCAGGCTATCATGATGTACCACGTAGAGAGACTTCAAGACCCACACTCAATCAAAAGCAGGGACTGGAGACATGGCTGCATTAGTAAAGTGGTGCTTGATATGCAAGCATGAGGACCTGAGTTCAGATCCCCAGCATGCCTATAAAAGCTGGGCATGACAGGAAGTACCCATAATCCCAGCACTGGGGAGCCAGAGACAGGACCAACATCATAGAAGGAGAGAAATGACTCCCACAAGTTGTCTTCTGACCTCCACATGTAGGCTGTAGCACACACACACACACACACACACACACACATACACACACACACACACCTATACACACACACATACAAATTAATACATATAAAAATTTAATTCCAAGTTTTTGTTTTTTAATGCAATAAATTTTGACAGGAGAAGAAAAGGAGGAAACAAGATAGGCAGTGAGAAAGAAGGGCAGTGGGATTGGATAAGGAGTGGGAAGGCAGCATGAAGGCAACAAATTAGATTAGTGCCAAAGGCTGCAGAGAATTTTAATTCCCACCAAAGCAAAGCAAAACAAGATGCAGGCAGGACCGAGGAGCAAAGAGGACTGGCTTCAGGAATTGGGCTTTTGCTTGCTACCCTAAGCCTGACAGCTGTGTGACCCTGCGCAGGGCCTCTCCCAGCCCTCTTCCCCTATAGCTACAGGGAAACTTCAGGTTTCCCGGAAGTTGCTAGGAGGGTTCAACTGCAAGAAATAGCATTTCTCAGCCATGCTTCCCAAACACTCCATCATTTGAGCCACATGCCCACCCCGCGAGGCTAAGAGTTCGTATCTGGGGAGTGGAGGGACCCAAAGAACACCCATGCTCACACAGAGGAATGGGCCACCAATATGGGAAACTTAAATAATCTGTCTCCGGAGAGGAATAAAGGGCCAAGAACATCCCAGTGCAGACACTTAATCACTTAGCTAGAAAACAAGAAGGACAGAAGGAGAATGGGAGAGGCATGCACCTGGAGCTCACTCTACCACCACCACACAACCATGGGACTGACCCGGGCCAGCTCCTGAAACAAGATCATCACCTTGCTCCTCCCCTGACAAGGGACACTAAGACCTCAAACAGTGAAGGACAACGAGGGACACAACACCAGATGCTGCTATTGCCAGCATTGGCATCAGTGGGCAGCTGCTGCACATCTGGGCAATGCTACCCCATCCATTTTAAGGACTTTGTGATTCATAATCATTGCTTGTTGCTCTCATTACTGTCGTCTTCATTGCTGTTAACATTGAGATGACAGATGGCTTTCGTTTTCTTAATGCCGTCAATTACAAGTGTAAGGTTTTCTGTCTATAAGGCACGAAACAAAGCATTTTCTCTAGATCTCGCCCATGGAATTCACTAACCTATAAAGTATTTAAGATGTATCATTCTTGTCTTTTAAATGTGAAATTAGAAGCTCCAAATCTCAAGGCACATGCTTGAGGTAATACAGAGTGTGTCAGACCCCAGACACAATCCCATAAAAGCATGCCAAGAGATCTACATGGGATGCCAACTCCAACCTTTGTCCCAGTATGTGTCTCCCATAGACCCACAGCTTGGGTCACTGAAATTCAAGCCTAGCCTAGCCTGAGAAAAGTTGCAGATTACAACGGCCCCCCTCAAGGCCTCCACCAGCTGCCCCACAAGTAGGCTGGGGTACCCCAGAGCCCCTCACCTGGGGGGTCCGTCTGTTTCTTCTCTTGAGGTTCTGAGGAGGGAGCTGTTTATTCTGCTTCATCTTGTCCTGGCATTTGGTGCAGTGCTGTACACAAGATGGCTTAATTGGGCAGCAGCCATCCCTCGGGTCTCAAATCCTCAGAGAGTAGAGTACACAGGCCCAGCTTTTGCTAATTGCCAGTTGTGTCGCCATGGCAAATCTCACCAGGGCTGCTCTAACCACAGGCAACTTTCTAATAATCTACACAGTTTCCCATCCTTCCGCTTGCAAAGCTTCTCCCCTTCCTATCTGCTACTAGTTAACCCGGGGCCAGACCCTATAAGACCCTGACCTAAGAAGTTCCCATTACAAGCCATGTCACCCCATGAGGCAGAGAGGGGCCAGTGTGAGGCTGATAAAGGGCCACATGCACCCCATGCACATCCCATGTGCTAATAACTGAAGTATGCTCTCCTTGGCCCCTGCTTCTTAACAAAAGGCTGGAGCATGTCATGATGGGCTCTAGGTGTTGGATACCTTGGCTGCTAGCTGGTTCCAACTAAACTGAGGAGGAGCCACCAGTGGCAGGTGCAGTTTTGAGTATGAAGAAACAAGTACATCTTTACATGGTCAACAAATATGGTATCAGTCTGGGCATTCAACTCACTGTAAACCAATCCGGATAAAAGATTATGTTAAGTTCCCGTGAGATGGCTCAGTGGGCGAGGGTGCCTGCTGACTTGAGTCTGATGCCCAGGGCCTCTGTAAAGGTGGAAGGAGAACCCATTCCACAAAGCTGTTCTGAACTCCACACACATGCTGTGCTAAATACGCACACTAATGATGATGATGACGATAATGATAATAATACTTGAAATTAAAATCTTATTAGAATCACAAGAGCAATTCCCAGTCAGCCTGGTCACCCTGTTGACTGAACAAATGGGAAATGAGGTTCATCAGACTCCTCCAGAAGTTGTGAGGAACCGTAGAAGTCAGGACTCATGTTCTTCTGCTTGGGTGTCAGCTTCCTAAGATGACTAGAGATGGGTGTCACTATCAAACCCATGCCAAATGTCCTTGTTAGTTTGTATTGTCATCTTGACACAACCTAGAGTCACCTGGGAAAACAGAGTCTGGATTCAAGGACTGCCTAGATCAAATTGGCCTGAGGCGATGTCTGTGAGTGATTGTGTTGATTGATGATTGATATGGGAGGGCCAAGCCCACTGTGGGCAGCATCATTCATAGGCAAGTAGCCTGCGTTGTATAAAAGAGCTAGCTAAGTTATCCAGTGAGTGAGCCAGTAAGCCACATTTCTCCATGGTTTTGCTTCAGCTCCTGCTTGAGTTCTTGCCCTAACTTCTCTTGAGGGTCTGTGACCTGGAAATGTAAGACAAATAAGAAATGAGTTGCTTCAGGTCAGAATGTAGGGTTTTGTTTTGATTTCTGCTTTTGTTTTCTTTATGGGGTGGAGTGTTTTGTTTTAAAAAGTGTTTCACTGTGTAGCCTTTGCTGGCCTGGAACTTGATATGTAGTCTGGGCTATTCCTGAACTCCTGAAGATCCACCTGCCTCTGTTTCCCCTGTGCCGAGATTAAAGATGTACTGCTAGGCTCAGCAGGTCAGAGCAACAGAAAATAAACTGGAATATAAGGCTTAAATAGGCCTTTCTAGCCCACTGTCCTCCCTGGAGCAGTAGCAAATGAAGCAGAGGCTGTCAATGGTGCTAGCAGCATGGACTGTCAGAAGCCCCCAGGGGATGCTGATGCAACTGTCCGAATGAGGGCACTGCAGTAGATCTCAAGCTCCAAGAACCCCTGCAGACCCCAGGCATCCCTGTGCTTGATGTGTGGATAACCAGCAGCACACTTCCAGAAGGACAAAGTGCAGATGAGATTATTGCTGAGAAATATTGACTTTAATTAAACAAAAGGGTAAACCCTATGCATCTGTCATCTTTCAGCCTAAAATTCAGCAAAAAAAAAAAAAAAAAAAAAAAACAAAAAAAAAAAAAAAAAAAAAAACACTGACTCTGTTTTTTTAGTTTTGGTTTTGGTTTTTCAATTCAGGGGTTTCCTTGAAACTTGCTCTGTCAATCAGGCTGGTCTCAAACTCACAAAAATCTGTCTGTCTCTGGCTCCTGAGAGTTGGGATTAAAGGCATGTGCCACCACTGGCCAGCTTGGTTTTAAAGTTCTAAACTTGGAAAACATGAGAATTATGTTGGACCACTATAAGATGCCAGGAGGTTCCCCTGTAGAGCCAGGAGATTTTGCTACCACTGAGCAGAAGTGAGTTGAGTATATAGTGAGGCCCCAAACAGTTGAACTAAGGAAGGGCAGAGCTGAGGGCTTCAAGGATCAGTATGACTCCTAATGACTGGCATTAATCCCAAGCCCTCAGAGTTCCCCAGTCCTGGATAGAACTATTCACATGCAAAGTAGTCCTTCAGGGGGGCAAAGAGGTGTCTGATGACTGGCACACTCCAGGACTTTCCCAGCAGCTTCTGCCGGGCACCACGGCCCATGTTGGACACATCCGTGTAGTGTGCAGGAAAGCCGAAGATCCTAGAAGAGTACAGAGCAAAACGACACAAGGTTAGAAGGGCCCATGTCCCCAGCACACTCAGAACAGTTGTGTCCTGAAAGTCCAGGCCTGGGAAAGCCACCAGGCTGCCACTGTCTCTGCATGCAACTACTCTTCCCCATGCCTTCAGTCAGGACTCTTGGGCTCAAAGGAATCTTCTAGACTACAATTCCCCTGGTTCCTCAGATCATTTGCTGATAACTGATAGTTGAGTCAAGGGTATTGGTGCTGTCTTGTGTGCCCCCCCACACACACACTGAGACTGTGCTTCGGTCCTTATGTGCTGTGCAGGGACCATTCTTAAATGCTACTGTGAATTAATCCATGAATTGCCAGTCAGCCTGCACACGTGTATGATTCAAAACACAATGAGAGAAGTTTAGCAATCAATTTTGTGGGATGGAGAGATATAGGTGTGCATATGTCTGTGTCCATGGGGTCAGAGGTCATCCTCAGTCCTCATGTGTTATTCCTTAGGGGCTATGCATTCATCTTTTTTTTTTTTTTTTCTTGAGACAGGGTCCCTTGGAATTTTCAGATTAGGCTGGCTTGCTTGCCCACACGCACCAGGGATCCTCCTGCTCTGCCTGACATACTTGGCTCAAACTGAAATCCCCGCACTTGTCATTTTTAATGACCAAGCCATCTCCTTAGCCCTGCAGTTTCTTTAAGGAGGAACAAAGTCATCCCAAAAAAAGAAGAAATAAAACCAGAACTGAGATTTGGGATGAAACTACACACTACAAAAGTCTTCAGAAAAGAGCTATAACATAAAAGAGAAAGAAAAAAAAAATCTTTGAAATCCAAGAGACAGATCTTCACATGACAATGGACAACGTAGCCCCCCCCCAAAAAAAAAAAACTGTAAGAGGTTAAAGACAGACTGTGATCAAAGAGGAATCAGCTGCCATGAGGAATGTGGCTGCAAGAGCTGAGGGGTTTCCCATTTTCCTAAGAACCCAGAGTTGGGACAGGAAAATGTAAGGGCAGTGAGGTGACAGAGGCAGCGCTATCTGATATCCTCATGTCCGAGATTTCTCATCACCACGGCGCCACCATTTCTGTGGGAAAATAAGGGCTAGTTCTGAAACGCTGTTATTATGCAGACCCTACTACACGGCTCACTGGGACCTGGAGGAACTAAGGCAACCAAGGCCAAGGAACTAAGGCTGTGTGTGCTGCTGGCTCTGACTACATTCTCCTTCCAGCCTCTGTCCCCACAGATTACCTCTCCAAGTGCAGCCTCGTTCACTGTGGTGATTAGAATGATAAACAACCTATAGTCTAAGATTGTGTTTGGATACAGTCCCCAGCTGATAATGCTTTTTGGATAGGTTCAGAAGATGTAGCCTTGCTGTAGTAATGCCACTAGGGGAGACCTTTGTGAGTTTAAAGATCCACCATTTCTAGTTTCTCTCTCTCTCCCTCTCCCTCTCCCTCTCCCTCTCCCTCTCTCTCTCCCTCTCCCTCTTTCTCCTTTCATGCTTGCAGTTCAAGATATAAGTTCTCAGCTTACCACTGGAGCCACCATGCCTGCTGCCTACTTCCCTAGCATGATGGACTCTTAGTCCTCTGGAACCATAAGCACAAATAAACTCTTTGTTTTATAAATGTCCTTGGTCCTAGTATCCTATCACAGTGATAGAAAAGTAACTAATACACTTACTTTTCAAGCTCAGTACACCACAAATCATCGTCCTTGCCATTCATGACTACAGGGAAAAGCTGGTTTTTCCCCTGTCTGATGGAGTTCGACTTGGTAGTTATTGTCTGTACTTTCTTTAACTGGAAGGGGGAAAAAATACCAAGGGGTGAGCATAGAAGGCTTCCAAGTGGAGTCAGGATCAGCTGAGTTTGGAGAGGTGGCAGGGACAGGCATACACAGAGAGAGGACAAAGAGACTGGAAGAGATTCTTTATGCTTCCCACAAATGCCACATACATCTTAGCCAAAAGTGACCATGAAGGATCACATGGTGGTCAAGACACCAGTCACTGATCAAGGGGGTCATTAAGAGCAAAAACCACCCAGACTCAGAATGGCCAACCACAGCTTGAGCAACAGGCCTTTGCTTCTCGAAGACATGGAAGAGCAGGCACCAGACGCCTTACTGTGCATCTGTGACTGCACAGCACACAGCCCTTTGCAACAGCATCCACCTCTGTTGCCACTGCAAAGATTGCCTGCAGCACAGCCTCTATGCCTCCAGCATTAACCACTGCAGAGCACGGCCACATTTTCTCACCGGGATTATTTACCAGGAACATCTCCTACTCTGTACTTGAAGAAGAGACAGAACAGTTCTGTGGGGAAAGAGGCCCAGCACCAGGAATCTGTGAGGGAGTGAGCAGGAGCCATGTGGATAGAGCCAAGGTCACAGTTTTCCAGAAGGTTCAGAACAGAACACTCAGCACCTTACCTTTGCTGTCCTACTGAACTCCAAGCAGTCCTGCAGCTCGAGCTTATCATTCTTTGAAGCTATCACAGGCCTGGGAACAGCCAAAACCCGTTATTCTCCAGCATCTGCCCTGGAGGTCTAAGGTAGATACCTCGCAAGTCAGACAAGAGATCTGCTTTGCCCAAGTGTACTCTGGCAGTGAACATGTTCAGTCACAGGATGAAAACAGACAAGCTGTGTAGTAAGAACAGGAGTCCACTAGTCCCTGAAGAGTACAGCCTGGGCCCAGATGTAATGTTTCTCTGAATTTTAGGTTTTAGCATTGGGCAAAGTGAGGCTCCCACAGAGGGACTGGAGCATTACAGTAGTCCTGTGCAGACCAGGCAAATGTGATAGAGAAACTTGGTCTAGATCAGTGGTTCTCAACCTGTGGGGCTCAAACCCGTTAGGGGTGAACAACCCTTTCACAGACGTTTCCCAAGACCATCTGAAAACACACATATTTACACTATGCTTTATAACAACCACAAAATTACAGTAATGAAGTAGCAAAAATAATTTTACGGTTGAGGATCACCACAGCATGAGAAACTGTATTAAAGGGTCACAGTATTAGGAAGATGGAGAACCACTGGTCTAAATGTTGGTGAGTCACCTTCATATGAGTGTCCCACACTTTGGAAATGAAACTCAAGAGGCTCTGAAGTGGGTACCATCCTTGAAAGGAAGGACAGTCAAACCTTTCACTTTCTCTCTGGTAACCTGTTTTGCAAAGGCAGAGACAAACAAGCTGACAGGCAAAAGCTAGAAGCTCTTCACAACATCTGTATGCAGGAGTCATCAACGCTGTAGTGGCCCCAGTTAGGGACTTCAGAGTCAAAAAGAAAAAAAAAAAGAATGATGCCACAAAGGGGCTGAGGAATCACACCAAGAATTTCCCCTGACCACACCTTTCAGCTGTCCAACACCAGCCGTGATTCTTCTTTTCCGAATGTATTTATTACTAACGTGTTTATATGTGTTTGATGTATGTGGACATGCATGCCACAGTGCATGTCTGGAGGTCAGAGGACAACTCTGTAGAGTCAGTTCTCTCCCTCCACCTTTACAGGAGTTCTGGGGATCAAACTCACTTCTATAGGAAGCTCCTTTACCCATTGAGCCACCTCACTGGCTTTCTATCCCTTTTGTGTCCTCTGTGATCCTAAATGATGTGAGGGGCCAGGAGAAAGAGGACACAGAATGCTCAGTGTTATATAGATTCAAAGATTAAGATTTATACAAAACACCAAGCATGGTGGCACATCCTTTAATCCCAGCATTAAGGAGGCAGAGGCAAGAGATCTTTGTGAATTCAAGTCCAGCCTGGTCTACAGAAGGAGTCCCGGGCCATATATGAAAAGATCTGCATAAACTAGATAACTCAGGCTCAGCCCACCTAACATTTCATACACCCACTCTGTCACCCATCAGAGCTCACTTAGAGCAGCCCATCCTCTTAGCCTGGAAGCCACCAAATGCATAAACAAATGTCCAAGTATCCTACCAGCCTACAAACTCCAGAGGTCACTGCTACCAACTTCATTTGTTTTCTCACTGGATGGCACCTTCTGCGACACATCGTAATAACTGACCATCTCACTTCCTTCTGCATACACCAACTCACTAGTGTCCCCATCTCTGAGTTCTGTCTCTTTTCCTTCTACTAGACATGGTATACCTTAATTGCTTGAATTACTTTTTGTAATGTCCTACCCCCACTAAGTGGCACCCTGTATCAGGCCTGCAGTATCCAGCCAGAGATACCTGCATCTCTCTTTGCAAGCCACTCTTGACCTAAGAGCACTAATCTCCAAGCTGGTGTGGGGATGCCTGCCCACCATCTATCCTAGAGCACTCCCTTCTGCCTGGATTGGCTCCATTCCTTTAGTTCTATTGGATGAGGCCTCTCCTTCCCCACCATACTTCCCAATGCCACCTCCCCAGCCATGAACATACAATTACTTACTGTGTTCTCTACCCCTCCCACTAATACCACTACTCTGCAAGAGCCACTGACATCATTGTGTTCCCCAGTGAACTGGCAGCAATCCAGTGCTTAGCGGGGAGAGCTTGAATGTTGAATAAATCAGCCCATGTGATTCCAAACAAGCACATGGTAGCTTTTGATTAGATGGTTCACTGAATAAACATTAACTATGCAAGGGGTAAAAACGATATTAAAAATTTGAATTTAAAAAAATTACATCTAAGGGAAATCTCCAAGCTGTTCACACTGCCAGACTCCCAAAATGTATGCTTCTAACACATCTTTGGGAAAGAGTGCCACAGCTTAGCTCATTTGCATATATGGGATGGTCACTACAGTCACGTTTCACACCTTAGTTAGCAAGCTGTTCTTGAAATCACAAAGGATGATGTAAGGAGGCCTCCTCTGCAGAAACACTTGATTTGCATCTAGTCCTGAGGACTACTGAACACTGGGTATGACCACAGAAGTGTGAGATAAACAAGGACAACACCAATGAACATGCCAAAGTGGACAAAGAAAAGCCATGTGGCCTCAACCTTACACAAAGAACTACAGGCAACAGAGGAACGCTGGGAACAGGAAGGGTGGCCTTCAGGGAAGAGCACACCAAATGGTTGTCTAGTGCCAAACAGTCAGCCCTGGAAACACACATTCAAGTAACCTTATATGGACATAATGGCTCATATTTAGGAATATGTATATGTATACAGATATACATATGTATACACTAACAATGGATAAAAAGAAAGGCCATGAATTTCAGGAGCAGGAAGGAGTATAAGGAAGGATTTGGAGGGAGGAATGTTATAATTAAATTAAAATCTCAAAGAAAAAAATTTAAGGGTAGAAAATACTCCTGACTGAGAAAACTGGAGGAAGCCGGTGTCTGTGCTACTGTTTCATACCTCGGCTCTGCCCCCTGGTTGGTCACCAGTTGCCTATAATAGGGCCCACTTCATCCCAGGGGAAGAAGGGATGGTTTCTTTAACATTTAACATTTGCAATGAAAGACTTAACACAGCAGAAGAACAGGGAGACTTCACAGTTCTCAGTCATCATGGGGACCTTGAGAAACACCCACCCTGAAGCTAAAGCAAAACAGTTGCCCAAGAAGTCCTGTCCAGGGCTCCAATTATCCAGAGCATCCTAAAGCCAGGACTTTCTAGAAAATCAGAATGTCAGACAGACTTGTACATAACTTTGCTGTCAGTTACCTGTCTCTCTCAGGGCTCTTACCTGTTCATCCCAGGTAGGTTGCCCCAGAAGTATCGGGCCCTGTGAGCAGCAGAAACCTTGATGGCATCAATCATCACTGGGTTACACTGCAAGAAGAGAAGGTGAGTCACTGGAGATAACTCAAGACTGGGCTGTCAGTCAGCCCAGGTCTGACCTGTCAGGTGACAAGGCTTTCCTAGCTACACAAGAAGGAAGGAGACATACCAGTTTCCACCCAGAGGCTGGCTAGAGCAGAGTTGATGTGTGTTCACAGCAATAGAACAGTGACCAAGACAGAAGTTGGTACCAGCAGTTGGGTAGTGCTCTGAGAGACCTGACCATACTGTTTACTGGCAGAATGTGGACTTTGAGACTTTGGATAGAAAATCAGCTGAACAATAAAGCTTAAAAGTGGGACATACTAGTAGGAACCTGGACAGTAATGCTGAGAGCAAGGTGAGCCCAGCTCAAGAAGTTTCCAAGGGGAAGCATATTAGTAAGTGACCTAGACACCATTCTTGTGATACTTTGACAAATAATGTGGCTGCTTTCTGCTCTTGTCCTAAAAATCTGTGGCTAAAGTGAAGAGGTTTTGGATTAAGGGATTTGACAGAGAAGATTTCAGGATAACAGTAGAGTGTGGTTATCAGTAATCTTTCTTATGCAGATCCATAATGAAAAAGACTAAACTGGATAAAAATAAATAAAAAATGTACAGTTTGGGGAGAAAAGGAGCACCAGAAACTGTAATGGAGCTAAGTCCAGTGTTCAAGGAGACAAGATTTAAAAAAAAAAAAAAAAAAAAAAAAAAGCCTGATGCTAAATGAAATAAAGGGAGTGGTGACCTCAGCGCAAGACCCTACCCAACTTTTTTCCCAACTTGTAAAAAGGAATTAAAGAAAAGCACTGGGTGCTGGTGGCACACACCATTAATCCCAGCACCCAGGAGGCAGAGGCAGGCGGATCCCTGTAAGTTCAAGGCCAGCCTGGTCTACAGTTCCAGGACAGGCTCCAAAGCTACACAGAGAAACCCTTTCTCAAAGAACCAAAAAAAAAAGGAAAAGAAAGCTTAAGCAGTGAAGGGAACCATGAACAACAGAAAGCCGATGTAAAAGGAACCCAAATTCCAACCCCACCAAGCAACAGAACTTGGTTCACATGGCTCTGGTTTTCGAGTCAAAAGTACAAGAAAGGGGTTGTGGAAACGTCCTCTTTTTCTAAGGAAAGCAACTGAGGCCAGCATATGTCAGGAATGTCCCTGCATAGAGGCCGTTATGTGAAGCTGTGAAGGTGAAGCCTGGATTGTGTTGGAGATCCTAAGATGTGGGAGAAGCCAGAGCAGCGGGATCCCTGCCAAAGAGAGCTGCAGACCAAGTGTGAAACCAGCCCAAGAGAGAATTCAACAAAGCTGGAAGGAATTGGAGATCTGATGTGTGCTTTCACTTCAGATGTGGAGATGTAGAATTTGGAGTTTGCCCTGCTGGATTTCGGTTTCCTATGGTCCAGTAATTTCTCACTATGTTCCCTCTCTTCTCTTTTGGAATAGTAATGTATATTCTGTGCCATTGTGTGTTGGAAGTATGTGATCTACTTTTTTATTTTGATTTTTACAGGGGATTACTGTTAAGAGATTGCCAGAAGTCTTCTAAAAGGATTTTGAACTTTTGACTTTAAAACAGTATTGAGGCTGTGAAAGACTATGGGAACTTTCGAAGTTAGACTGAATTCATTTTGCATTATGATATGACTATAAGCCTGTGGGGGTAGGGCAAAGAGTAGAATGTGATAGTTTGGATGAGAATGGCTCTCTCAGGAGCATATATTTGAAGGCTTAGTCACCAGGAAGTGGAACTGTTTAAAAGGATTAGGAGATGTGGACTTATTGGAGGCTGTTCTGGGTAGATTTTGAGGTTTCAAAAGCCCAGTCTCTCTTCCTGCTGCCTGTGGATCAGGATGCAGAACTCTCATCTACTTCTCCAGCAGCATGCCTGCCTGTATGCCATCATGCTCCCCACTGTGATAGAAACAGACTACACCTCTGAAGCTGCGATCAAGCACCTAATTAGTTTATTTTGTTAGAGTTGCCTACGTCATGGTGTCTCCTCACAGCAATAGAACAATGACTAAGACAGCTGATCTCTGCCTGTGAATGATGGGTGACAAGTCAGATTCAGACCTGCCCACTCTGAGTCATGTCAATGGCAGAGGGTGCTCAAAGGTAGAGGTACTTCACATCAAAATCTGCTAAGTCAAATCCCATTTGCAGACAGACAGTGTGGGCAATGCATGGCTCAAGAAACCCAGCCACAAGTAACATATGGCATTTGGAAATAGCCAATTCTATCACCTCTGAGGCAAAAATTGTAAAATTCTAATGAAAACTAAGAAACAGTCCAGGTGCGATACACACCTGTAACCCTGGCACTTGAGATGTGGACACAAGACCAAGAGTTGAAAAGCCTTAGCTATGTGAGACTCCATCTTTAAAAAAAAAACCAACCAAACATGGAGGTGGAGAAATGACTCAGTGGTTAAGAGCATTGACTGCGTTCAAGAGGATCTGAGTTCAATTCCCAGCAACCATATGGTGGCCCACAACTGCCTATAATGGTACCCAATGCCCTCTCTGGCATGTAAATATACATGTTGACAGATTATTCATATAATCCTTTTTGAAGAAGGAGGAGGAGAAGGGCAGTGGTGGCATATGACTTTAATTAAGTCCAGCACTTGGGAGGCAGAGGAAGGCAGATCTCTGAGTTTGTAGCCAGCCTTGTCTACAGATCAAGTTAAAGGGCAGCCAGAGCTATACAGAAAAACACTGTCTCAAAAAAAGAAAGAAAGGAAGGGAGGAAGGAAGGAAGGAAGGAAGAATAGAAGGAAGGAAGGAAGGAAGGAAAGAAGGAAGGAAGGAAGGAAGGAAGGAAGTGAATCCAAAAACCTACTTACTACAGTGTTTGATGTAATTCAAGTGGTGGATAATTAACTTCTCTGTAACCCCTAAAGCTACCATTTTCAGAAGAAAGAGAAAACAAGAAACTGTCTAAAGTAAAAGTAGAAGTTGGTGTCATTATTGGTGCCTTGCACAGGCAGGGTTATATTAGGGATAAATGTCCTCCATGCACTCACAAGTGTGCTGTATCCTTCCTACCCAGATCTAGCCACAAACGGTGGAACATTCCCACCTGTCACACTCAGAAGCCTTCAATGCCAATGTGGTCTCCCTGGCCCAAGTAGTCCTGACACTCAGACAACTCACCTCCAGGAATTGTGAGATGTCCCTCTTGTCACCGACCTCCATGGCTACCACATTCTCAAACATCCAGAAGAATGGACGGTTGTCACACTCCTCAGGACGTGAGTAATTTAGCAATCGATAAAATTCAAAGAAGAGTCGGCCAGTCCCCTCTACATCCATAAAAGAATATCAGAGAACAGGGTTTGATCAAAAGCTTCAGTATAAGCCTCCACATTCCCTGAGACCACGAGAATCCCAACAAGCCCCATCAGTAAAACCCATGTCCTTACATCCCAACCCTTCTGGTCCCCTGAAATGACCAGACAAGGACATGGGGAGCAACAGAACACCATTCACTGACATCTTTATCTGAGGACTGAGGATTTGCAAAGGGGGCAGGCAGTGCTTAAGGACCAAGGCGCTAAACAGGAAAAAGCAGAAGCCAACAGCTTCATCTCCGCCACCCCACATGGACCAGCCAGAACAAATGGCTGCTCACCGAACAGCCCTTTCCTGACAGGATTCACACAGGAGAGGTCATTGCAAGGACTTCCGCCAATCACCAAGTCGAATGGGCCCCACTCGTCAATCTGAGGGAAAACACAAAAGGCAGGGATGAGCCTGAGGAAGCGGGGACTAGAAGCCTTGCTGCTAGGATAGGGAAGATGGCTTGGAGGATTCAGGTGCCTGGCAACCTGAGAATGATCTCCAAACCCATGGAAATGTGGAAGGAGGAGAGCAACTCCATGAAGTTGCCCTTCCATCTGCACACATGTGCCAAAGTACTGGCACCCTCATCCATGTGTGCACAATCCTGGGCCTCAGAGAAAGGGATAGCCTACTATGAGACCAAGGTCCACGGTATAGAGGAACAAGCAAAATGAACCCCAGGAAAAATGCCACCCTCACATTTCCCCTTGTGATGTTCCTGACGTCATTCACGTATTTGATTTGGCCTTCATGCTTAACAGTTCCCACAGCGATGGACTCTGTACACACTTCAGAAGCAACGTACTTCTCCACTTTGATACCCAGCTCCTTGAGCACCAAGTACCCTGTGAGGGATCAAATAGGAATGTGAGGACAAGAGGCCAAGTGCAGAGCCATCAGCCCCACCCACGGTGTCCTCCTGAAGCGCACTGAAGAACCCCTTACTCCATCACTGTCACTTCAGGGTGTCTGTGTAGACTCAGGGACCCCAGAGCATTGACAGTGTTGGCTATGGTCATTCCTTCTATGTATGGGACATCTCATAAAAAGGGAAGGAGACCGGATTGAGGAAGGTAGTTGTTACCTAATTGACCATATACATAAGGAAAAGTTTAAAAAATGACACACATGACATTCTAGCTACTTCTCTTCTCAGTTGTCGCAAGAGAGACACCTTTAGCCTGCCTAGAAGATTCTTTCATTGACCCAACAGAGCATCCTCAGGTAAGACTCACCTGTTGCAATTCCATCAAACAGGGACAGGACTCTAATGGGCCTCCTCCTGGCTGCAGGAATTGCTGGGTACAACTTGGGTGGCTCCTGCCAGATAAGCAAAGAGTGAGGCCTCAGAGTGTCCATCTATCCTCCTGTACTAAGAAGCATCCATGGGAACTGGTAAGAGTATTGGGCACAGGCTGACCATTCTGTCCTTAGATGGGAGGCACAGCTGCCTCCTACAGATGCACAGAGCCAGATAGATAAGGAACTTGGGTGCTAATGGCCAAGGCCTGAGAACAGAAAATGAACTCCTACATTGTGGGAGCAACTGCCCACACACTCAGACATTTCCATCCTGTTCCCTCCTCAGAAGATACTGGAAGGAAGAATTGTCTGCTAAAGGTGTAGACTAGCAAGGGCTCTCATCCTCTGACAGGTATAGGCTCTGTGAGGTACAAATGCAGAGATGAATCTTGCTGCACATTCCCAGCTGGCCTTGACCTCACTATTTAACCCAGGCTACCCTTAAACTCATCACAAAGCTCGTGGCTCAGCTGTCTGTGCTATGAGTCTAGCCTTTGTCACTATGCTTATTACTATTAACTTTGGGGGGCTGTTTGGACACAGGATCTCAGTAAATAAGTAGCCATGATTGGCTGGGAACTCTCTTGACTGACCAGGCTGTCTTGAACTCAGTGATAGGACTGCTGGTCTCCTACATTCTGAGATTAAAGGCCTAATCCGTGCTTTTACAGATGCACAGGATTCCAGATTCTCAGGGTCTGTAATTGCACGGGACTACTGTACAGAGCCTATGTCTTACGAATTCTTCGAGGTCAGGATCAGTAGTGAAGAAGTCTTGCAGGCGCACGTTCCAATCCTTCCTGCGCCTGAGGACCCCATGGCAGCGCTGTGGAAGGCACATGTAGCAGCTCCAGGGTTCCTGCAGCTTGGCATCCTCAGCTGTCCCTGTACCCACCAGCACCTCCAGACACTCCACACAGAAGCACCTGTGCCAGAGCATCCAGAGAGAACGGGATCAGGGTTAGCAGGCCCAGTTAGTTCCGCAGGACTTGACCCCCCTGCCTGATGCTCAGTGGGGTACAACTGAGGTGCTTGGCCATCTTGTCCAGTCTCCATGGAAGGACACTCACCTGCAGCAGCTCGTGTTGCTGCACAGAAGCAGCTCTCGGCCCTCGCAGCACACGGTGCAATAGGACTGATAGCCGTCCTCATCATACATGTAGAAGAGCTCCAGAAAACGATCCTGACCACCAGAGAGAAGCCCGTGAGACCTTAGACCTGACCTCAGCCAGGCCTGGCTAGCAAGCTGGCTGGGGCCCTAGCTGGTGGCCCGGGGTGCTCTTCAGCGACAGTACATGTGAGCTGATGCCTTATGGAGGGCCTTCTCTGCTGCAGCACTGTCCTGGGAAGCTGTTCAGTAGGGCCTGGAGCAGGAACTGTGCTGGGGGGCTGGCTGGGAATGGATATGGTGGGAGGAAGGGGCAGGAAGACTTACCCTGCAACTCTGACAGAGCCCACCCTCAAAGAGGGGGTGGAAGGATACAGGGTTTTTCCTACCACAGGACAAGCAGCGATCTGAGAGAAAGACACAGTGTCAGAGTTTATGGAGATCAAGTGCCTAACCTCAGCAGCTCAAGCCTTGAAGTTGACAGCACTGAGCATCTGCCCCTGCCAGCCATGTCCCGAGGACTCTGTAGCATGTCTAGTGCCTAACTCCTTCCAGCAGCTTTTCAGATGAGATATGGTGTTTTCAGGTGATTGGCCCTAGACTCAATGGTGTTTAAACTGCCATCCCCACTTCATAGTCTGCGAAGGATGACTTCCAACTAACAAAAAGAAGCACAGGGGAGGCCAAGGCCTGGCCAGGCGGAAGGACAAGAGGCTGAACATTGTTTGGTTTGGCATCTCCATTTTCATAAACATTAAACCTCAGACATTGAGGCACTGGTAGTGGTTCTGATTGGCTTGGTGGCAGATACAGAACCTGCCTGCAACCATGCCCAATCACAGATCACTACCAACCAGACCTTGGTTGTTTTTTTTTGGGGGGGGGCTTGTTTCATGAGGCAACACTGTCTTAGCTATAAACTGATTAACTATTCCTGAAGACAAAACCTTTAAATGTCCAGTACTGTCCCAATGGACAAATGCTAAATGACTCTTGGGATACGTGGAGGACAATGGCTCAAATTGTCCAGGTGGTGGTGGCGCACACCTTTAATTGCAGCACTCAGGAGGCAAAGGCAGGCAGATCTCTGTGAGTTTGAGGCCAGCCTGCTCTACAGAGTGAGTTCTAGGACAGCCAGGGCTATACAGAGAAACCCTGTCTCAAAAACCACACACACACACACACACACACACACACACACACACACACACACACGTTTCTAAATTGTTGCTACTGCTCTAAACTTCAGCTTTTTCAGGGTACCCTGGTTCCAGATCTGTTTCCTAACCCAATAATGAGTAACTACTTGATAAATATTTGATGATTCAGGCGCATTGGGCCAAGAATGCAAATGAAGAATCCAACGAATATTCAAACTCCATTAGGTCTGTTCCTGGAAGATTTCTGAATCCCAGAGCAGTACCCAGCTAGGGAAAGGATAGCAGAGTTAGCTCAAGGAGGAACCAGTGGCAAAATGCGTCTTATTTTAACCTACAAGTTAGCTGTGCTTATTGCAGGGAAAGTTCAAGTCTCCATTGATCTGGAGTTTTCAGGTGTTGGCCAAGTGCTACAGCTTCCATTGTTCCCCCACTCCAGTCACCCTGCTCAGTGGCCACATCAGATTCGGTTAAGAATGGGAGCAAATCACACAACTTGATCCAAAAAAATGTAGCAACAAATACATAAGGAGCAGAAATGGTCCCCATCTAGACCAGTCCCCAGGGCTCGGTATTGAACCCATGCAGAAAGCCTAAGACGGGCCTGGGGCACCCCAGAAGGAAGGGCTGGGGAACAACAGTACCTTCCAGATTGACCTTGTTGTTGGTGACATCAGAAGCCATTCGTTCTGTTGAGGCAAGAGGGACAAGGTGTGAGATGAGGTGGGGATGTCTCTCCTTCCCCAGGCAGCCATGCAGCACTGTATCCCACAGCACAGTGGTCCCGAGGACCCGCTGCTCCTGGTATGCACCATGCATGGCCAGGCCTTTCAGCACACGACCCCCAAATCACCTCGGCTCTCATCATCCTCCCCTCGGTCTTTCCCACCATAGCTGTTTGTCTTGAGGCGCTTGGGTGGGGGATAGGACTCAGAAGCAGCAGAGTCATTGGTTGTGCGTCTTCGACCTTTGTTCTCTGGAAGGTAAGGAGGCAGATTTGACTGAAGGTCTAAGAGACAAGGCGGCCTAGGACAAAACCATGCTTTGCCTGGGATCCAGCTGCATCTAGAGCAGGGGACCATGATGGGTGTAGAGAACCCAGAGGGGAGCCCAGAGCAGAAGCCAATTCAGAGCTTCTCTCACCCGGGAATCAGGCCATGGGGTTTACACATCTGAATGTGTAAGAGAATCCATCCTTCTAGAGTGAGCCCAGAGCAGTGCTGGGTCACAGCTGCAACTGAGGTTCCTACAGTGATGCACACCACAATGCCAGATGGGAGCAGGGAGCTACTGAGTATTTGAAATATCAGGAGAGATATTTCTGAGGATCAGGTCCAAATTGTCAAATGATGCTACTTGTTTGGTTCATTTGGACTGATTTGAACACTTGAATCTACTTAGCCAATTTATGAAATTGGTTAATATATATTCATTAATCAATTTCAGCTTAACTTTCACGTAACGGCATAAATTTTTAGGACAGTACTAAAAGAAAAGTGAAATATCCCAATGTTTTATATAAACTAAATGTTTAAAGTTTTTAAAGTATTAGGTCAAAATGTATGGTTAGCATTAATTTCACATGATTCTTTATAATATTTTACATGAGAAAAGAATTGAATTACATTCTGTGGCTCCCACTCATTAACATTTATTCATACTTTTATTGGATCTATTGAATCCCAGGGCACATGTTTGAATCTGACTCTTCCTCTTTCACACATACTAGGAAAGAAAATCAGATACTCATCAAAAATCATGAGGAGCCAGATGTGGTGACACATGCTTGTAATCCCAGCATGAGGCCAGACAAAGTGAGACTGTTGTCTCAGAAAACAGAAACACAAGGAGCCTTTGACAAAGTGGCATTTGCTAGTGCTTATATATGCCATTAATACTAAGAAATAAAAAGGGAGCCAGGAGTCCTAAAATTATAGGAGGTTGAATATGCATCCATGGTTAGCCTGAGGGTCATATGTGAGGATGAGTGACTCAGCTCAGCTTAGGAGACTCGATTCTTCTCCACTGAGCACTGTAGATGCTAAGAAATTGCAGGACAGAGCAAAGGAAACAGAACTCAAAGATGGTGAGGGAATACCGCGTCTCCAGGGTTCAAAGCTCCCACTGCCTGCACCATTTATTCCCACCTGGTTGCTTGTTATTCGGCTTGAGGCCCTCGATGCCAGTGGGCTTGAAGCCCCCGTGGGCCCACTCCAGCATGGGCTTCAGCTTGTCCTCCAGGGAGTCTCCAGGGCTGCTGGGGAAGGTCTTGCCAGCTCGCACCCTGGCTCTCTGCCAAGACACAAATAAAGGCAGTCTGTCCATGAATGGGAGCAGGCGAATGAGGTATGTGCCAGGGTGAGCTCAGGGATTCCTCCTGCTGGGGCCAGCATTCCCTAAACACTGGTGTCTTTCAGGGCTGCACAGCTGTCCTTGGCTTTGTTATGTGACAGGGGCCTGCTTTTGAGGGACTGGTTAGGAAACAATAGACTATTGGAGCAGGCACCACGCACAACCTCTTCCCTGTAGAATCAGAGAGTGGGCAGCTCTCTCCCAAGGGAGGGTTTCAACTCAGCTTTGTTACTTAAAATGCAGGAGCTTCAGACACCTTTGCCTTACCCTTACCCTCCTGTAGCTTGTCTCAGACAACAGACTTCTTGCTGTGTCTTTCCTGAGATATGAATGTCGTCAGGAATTCCTCATTTTAAGGACAATGCCAATTTACATGCCTAATTAGGCCCTTGGCCAAGTGGGCAGGCTGGTAGGGGCTGGAGGGGAGTAGTGGGGAGCATAATGACCCAGAGAATATAGCGTCTACAGACTAGGGGAGTAGGCAGCGGGCCTCAGCTGCCTCCTTTAGGCCTTGAAGGACCCCGCTTGAAGAAAGAAAGCTCAGTGGTCTCTGGGGCAGCCTATGCTGCAGTATCAATATTGCCCCTGTGACATATGTCACTCTGGTCCATTGTCACATGCTGCTTAAGCTCACTGAAGGCTGGTGCTGGAATCGAAAGGCCTGTCCCTGTCTCAGACTCAAGTATATTTATTTCAAGTGTCTTCCAAAACTCCCTGTCCTGGGAAAGCTGGGCCCATTAAGACTGTGACAGGGACAAAGGAGAACAGCAAACAGCGGAGGGTATTACAAACATCACACCCTTGAGAACAGCAAGAAGGTAGAACTGCTTCCAACAGGAGATACATGGGTTATCGCATGCGGTAAAGATGGCTGTAGGTGGGATGAAAGACAGAAGCTTGCCCATAAAGATGAGATCTTTCTCTTAATCAAGAAGTCTGGCTTCTTGATGCTGTCAGCAGGTCTCCCCACATCATTTCTTTGGAATTTGATGACATTACTTCTGCTTGCTCTCCCAGCTGGGCTACTCCAGCTGGCTAGATATTAAGAGCATCGGATATGCGCCGTTTTTCTGTCTACCTGCGGTGTCTATCTGAAGCTTGCTATTTGTTCTTTTACTTTTGCTTGATACTCACTTAATAACCTCACTCTTTTGAAACCAGCTATCCAGACATTCTCCACATGAAATACCCACCCACAAGGCAGTAATCGCCTTTCCCGGTCCAGCTGGCAGTACCAGAAACTCAAATTCCTTTGCCAAGCAGGCCCTCTATCTTTGGCATTCACCACCTCCATGGTATCCCTGTTTCCTCCAGGCCAACCTTGGCAACACAATGGTGTGAGCTACTGTTTAGTGGCTCTCTCTTCCTCCCAGCTCTTAAGATCAAGACCTCATTCCTACACCTGTGTTACCTTTAGAGTGTGGTATATGACCTTCCTATAAGAAACCATTTTATAACCAAGTGGTGGTGGCACACGCCTTTAATCAGCAGGCAGAGACTGTTGGATCTCTGTGAGTTCGAAGCCAGCCTGGTCTACAGAGCTATTTCCAGGGCAGCTAGGGCTAACCAGAGAAACCCTGTCTCGAACAAACTAACTAAATAAATAAATCTGAACCAGCTTATTGAAGGGGTCCAGTTTATAATGCGGGCTAACCAGTCAGCCAAGGGCCACCAGTTGGTCAGCAGAGACCTAGGAGAGAAAGACATCACCAATATCTACCTGTATACTTGTTCACCCAGGGCCTATTCCTGGAATGGTTCACAGATGCCAAAACCAAAGGGGGGGACAGTATATAACACATATCATGGATTCTGAAACAAGGACACGTGATACTCCAAGTATGAGAAAGAAAGACGCTCAGAATGGGAACAATAAGATACATCCTATTTGTGTTCACATGTGTGCACACATCTATGAACAGTCAGTGTCACTGGTATAGTCATGAGACTCAGTCCTGAAACTGACTTAAATGTATTTTGTGCAGACTCTTTGCCCTTCCCTAGTGTGAGGGCAGCTACTGAGTCTTCAGATTCGTTCAATTAGCGCCAATCATGCATAGGTCCAGAGAACGTGCTTGGCACGGCGAGAGCTCTTACTACTCGCAATGATCGTGAGTGTTGATCATGAATGAATGGCAAGTTGCATGTTACAAGTCTCCAGACAATGCAGAAATGTTGTGGGGTGGTGTTCCTAGTGACGGGGAGATAAAGCAGATATTCCAGGCTGCCTTTCACAATCGTAGGACGTATGGGATGTCCCAGGATACAATGCTTGCTTTCATACTCAGACCCATCGAGTGCTCAAGGCCTCAATTCTGTGGTGCAGCCACCATGGGTGACAAGCCAGTTCCTCTACTCAACATGAGCAGAACATAGCAGATAACTAGGTAGGCTCTGGGCAGGTCTTGACCTTTGGCCAGGACCATAGCACATTGTAATCCCATCCCACAATCCTCTCTCACCATACTGCATCTTATTGCCACTGACCCTGTTTAGAAATGAGTATGGCATGTCTCACTAAATGTAGCAAGCATCCCTTCCAGGCCACACAAGTCATTGAGCACACGTCCCGGGAGTGTGATCCTTCCACCCTGGCATAAGCCCAGGACACTTATCCTTTTCTGCCATCTGCTGGTCACACAGCACAACTGCATGAAGTTTCTCATAGCAATTTGATAGCAGTTTTTGTTGTTGTTGTTGTTTTCTTTTCCTCTTAGGAAATTTTATGTGTGGAAATGGCCCCAAGGGAATGTAACTCATGAGAAAACCGGGACCTCAAACTGAGGCTGAACCCTAGTAATGTTCTTTTTAAAAGGGCTTACAATTTCATGTGTATTTTTCCACGTGAGTGTGCCACATATGTGCTAGTGCATTCAAAACTCAGAAAAGGGTGTCGTCAGGTACCCTGGAACTAGAGTTGCAGGAGGTTGTGAGCTGCATGCAGGCAAAACATCCACATCCATAAAACAAACATTTTAATTCAATTAAATTCTGCCTGCAATAAAAATAAAGTAAGGTTGAGGGCTCATTGGATAAAGCACTTGCCATGCAAGTGTGAGCACCAGAGTTCAGAACCCATTTAAAACTACATGCAATAATGCATTTCTGTTATCTGACCTAGGACATGAAAGAGGTGGCTACAGAAGAAGCCTTTGAAGCCTGGGGGCTAATGCCTGTCTCACAAAGTGGCAAATGAAGGAGACCACATCTCAAAGCACATGGGAGCCAAGGACTGACACTTGAGACTGACCCCTGTCTTCTACACACACTATGGCATGTGCACAAACACACTAACGGGTGGAGAGGTGATTGAGGAAACATCTGATGTCAACCTCTGGCTTCTGTCTGCACAGGTATACACTGCACATATGCACATGCACACATGGAGAGAGAGAGAGAGAACACTGTCCGTGTTGGTGTCCAGGAGCAGAGTGGGGCAAAGGAAGGGCCATGTTGAATTTGGAAAATATTTAGAATTTAAAAATGACAATTGCTGTGCATGGTGTCATACACCTTTAATCCCAGCACTTGGGAGACAGAGGCAGGTAGGTGGATCTTGGTGAGTTCAAGGCCAGCTTGGTCTACAAAGAGAGTTCCAAGACAACCAGGACTGATACACAGAGAAATCCTGTCTCAACAAAACAAAACAAGGCAACAATCATAGTGGTTGATCACTCTATATAACTATATAAGCACCTATATCCAGGTGCTTAAGGCAGTGTGGTAGTTTGAATGTAATTGGCCCCCATAAGCTCATAGGGAGTGGCACTATTAGGAGGTGTGGCTTTGTTGGAGTAGGTATGTCCTTGTTGGAGGAAATGTGTCACTGTGGGGATGGGCTTTAGGGCTACTATGCTCAAGCTACATCCAGTGTCACAGTCCACTTCCTGTTGCCTGTGGATGTAGAACTCTCAGCTCCTTTTCCAGCACCGTGTCTGCCTGCATGCCATGTCCCACTGTGATGATAATGGACTAAACCTCTAGAACTGTACGCCACCCCTGTTAAATGGTTTCCTTTATAAGAGTTGTCGTGGTCGTGGTGCCTCTTCACAGCAATAGAAACACAAAACAGGCAGAATTCCTTTTCAGTGGTACCTGAAACTTGGTGTTGTCTCCACCTCTGCTTTCCACATCCACCTGTGTGGTATCCACGCCCTCCTGATGGCTGTCCTGGCTCAAGATAACCAGCGGGGTATTGATGCTCTGGGATATGGCTTCTTCATCTGTGAGGTCAATGGTGGGGTACGGGCTAGTAGGGGACAGCCACAGTGTACTTGCTGAAGTGGTTGCTTGCCAACTCGGGGACTGTAAACAGAAAGAAAAGGTCAATCCCAGCAAAGCAAAGCAGGTGGGAGTGTATAAGAACAGCCTCCCCTCATCAGATCCCATGCAAGCAAGAGTGAACCGGGACCCTTTTGTTTTATAAGAACAAGACCCCGAGGCAGAGCAGAAATAGAATAAGGGTGAGAGTGTAATGACAGGTAATGACCAGATGATAAGCTGAGCTCAGAGAGTGTGGGGTCTCTGGGAAACTGGCTCCTGTGCATCTGGAAACAGAAGTAGAATGTGCTGGACCTGCTGGGGTTGCCTCAAGACAGCGGGAAAAGCCACAAAGGCAAGGGTGATGGATGCCAGTGGCTTTCAGTTCAGCTCCAAGGTGGGCCAGAACTGGGCCAAGGGAATTCTTGCCTCCTCAGCATAGTTCCAACAAGGGCAGGCCAAGAGTGAAGCCATAGGCTTAGGACCTTACCTAACACTCAGGAAAGAGGCAGACCTTGTCCTGTAGCTGTATTTGTTTGTTGGTTGTTTTTAATAAAATACAACTGGAGCTAGTTAACAAAAAGATTTGGGGCTAGAGCGATGGCTCAGCAGTTGAAGTCTTTACTGCTTTTCCAGAGGACTTGAGTTCAGTTCCAGGCACCCTTCTCATGTGGGCTTACAGTGTCTGTAATTCCATTCCAGAGGATCCCATGCCATCTTCTGGCCTCTGAGTACAGGCGCAAGTATGACATTGCACACAGAGACATATGAATAAAAGTAAAACCACTTCTTAAAGATCTAATACAGCTTTTGTTCTTCCTTTTGGTTTTTCGAGACAGTGTTTCTATGTTTAGACCTGGCTGTCCTGGAACTCACTGTGTAGATCAGGCTGGCCTCAAACTCACAGGGGTCTGTCTGCATCTGCCTCCCAAGTGATGGAATTAAAGGTGCACGCAACCACTACCCCACTAATCTGACATAGATTTAAACACAGGCATGGGGCAAAGTCTATGTGCCTGAGCTCAGCAAAAGGGAACTTACTGCTGGGATTTTAGAGGGTGTCCTGGTCTCCCAGCAGAATTTGGGCATCGCTAGAGTGCCAGAGCCACTGCTGTCCTCCACCTCGCCATCTCTACCTTCATCTCCAGCTCCTGTCAGGTCCTGTGAAAAGGAAACAGCTTTCCAGTATCCCCAAGTAACACAAGCAAGACAGCTAAGGAAGGCGAATGGCGTTGAAGTGCATAATGATGTCACTCTAAGGGTCCCTAAAATACTTCCACCCATGTCATTTTGCTCTAATAAGACTCCGTAGGCCCTTCTTCCACCACGGGGAGCACAATGCACTGACTTTGAAGAGATGAAGGGCAGAGAGGGCACCAGAACTTCTCCACCCTAGAGTTAAGTCCATCATCTCAGAACAAGCCAGTCTTCCCAAAGAGATTCCAGCAAACTGCGGTGTGCCCAAACCTGTGGGAATCCTACCAGATGATAACAGGGAGTCATTTACCAAAAGCCACTGAATTTCTTTGGATAGCCCAGAAAGAGAACCTGCCCCTTTCCTTCGGTCACGCCTGTCCCTCCTGCGGCAGTCCTTGCTCCCAGAATTGAAACAAAGAGTAGGTCTACCCCTGTGATCTTTGATGAATCCCAGGAAAAAACTGGATAAAAAAAACAAATGAAGTTCATTTTTTATATAGAAATTGGGGCATCCAATCCATAGAATATTGATGATAGTATGAATGCTTCCATGGCAAATAGAGTAAGAGAAACTTCTCTTCCCAGGTCCTGTCAGTGAATTTTCAGGGCTAGAGAGATGGCTCAGTGGTCAAGAGCACTGGCTGCTCTCTGACTGCTCTTCCAGAGGACTCGGGTTTAATTCTTAATACCCACAAGACAGCTAACAACTGGCTATAGCTCCAGGTTCAGGGCATTTGACACTTCTCTGGCCTCTGAGGACATCAACCACAGTACAGGCAAAATACTTATCACATTAAAAATAAATAAGCCAGGTGGTGGTGGTGCACACCTTTAATCCCAGCACTGGGGAGGCAGAGGCAGGCAGATATCTGTGATTTTTGAGGCCAGCCTGGTTTACAGAGTGAGTTCCAGGACATCCAGGGTAATTACACAGAGAAACCCTGTCTCAAAAGATAGATAGGTAGGTAGATAGATAGATAGATAGATAGATAGATAGATAGATAGATATTTTTAGAAATTAAAAAATAAGTGAATGTTCAATTAAAAGAAGATTCAATTATTTTCTTCATTTGCATAGCAGATTAGTAAGGATGTAATTTACATATTATTTACACTATGCCACCAGCTCTAGAAAAGTTATTAATAGACATGATCAAGTTCAAAGTAGGTAAAGAAGATTCATCAGTTTCTGAATTTGTGGGAAATAGAGACCAGCTCAGACAACAGTGAAACATCCCCCTTTGCTAAGGGATTCAGATTTAAATCAGTTCTTGGGAATTCATCAGGGCAACATCAATGAGCACAGGGGCTCTAGGTTAAGTACTGTCAACAGGCTGTCAATAAAATGACATGCAAGCCTGGGGAACCAGATGCATGGCCTGGGTCTCTGGGGTCTTAAGTAGTATCTATTTGAGATTCAAACAGAAACTTCATTCCAGTGTGGAAACCTCAGTTGTTGAAAAGAACTTGGAGACTGCCTTTGCCAGTGCTGCCCTGGAGCATCAGCCTGCCTCCACGGGAGCTCCATCCCAGCTGCTGGACCATGCTTAGAGCATCAGCCTGCCTCCACTGAGCTCCATCCCAGCTTGTAAAGCTGAAAAAACAACACACCAGTCTCGGCCAGAACAATCTATGGCATGCATTTATGTTTTCAGAACCACTTGGTGACTACATACATCTTAGTGTTGCTGTTGAATGAAATGCTGACAGAAATGGGAAGACACTCAAATTATTTTGTTCAATAAACGCATGAAATTCAGGCAGAAACAATGGTTGCTAGCAAATCAGATAAAATATATCAAGCTAAAAAACAAAAGGCACATGAAAGACCAAACCATAATAAGCAGAGATCGATACTGAGGGGATCTGTAGAACAATTCAAAAGGAAGTGTCAAGATCTGAGCAAGAATGACTGAAACAGTTGAACAGTGCCGTCGCCCAGGGAGAAGGCAGCAGCCTATAAAGCACTGGGAGGCAAAGACCAGTGAGAATAGCCCTGCCTCTCCTAGCACACACCTTTAATCCCAGTGTTCAGGAAGCAGTTCAAGGCTAGCCTTGAACTCTACACCAGCCAGGGCTATGCATTACTGTCTAAAGGGAAAAAAAAAAAAAAAAGCAAAACAACTATTCCTGTTGAGATGTGAGATGTGTGATACTTCATTCATGGTAAAATAATTTAGAACTATCTAAATAAACCACTGTATGTTTTATGAGTTACATGGAATGGATATGTTTATTATTGTTGTTATTAGAAGCTACATGTCCTAATCCTATCTGAATTTAGGGGACTGTGGCATGACTTTCTACAATATTTTGCTGACTTAAACATGACTGTATGTTAAATACTTGCACTAAAAAGTGCACAGTGTGAGATGTAGAGAAGACTCAGCAGTTAAGGACACTGGCTGCTCTCCCAGAGGACCTGTATTCAATTCCCAGCATCCACCAGAGTTACAGGCTCACAAAGACCTGTAACTGCAGTTCCAGAGGATGATGCCCTCTTCTGGCTTCTTTGGGCACTGCATGCACATGGTGCACAAACATACATGCAGGCAAAACACCCATAAACATAAAACTTTTTTTTAAAAAGTAATTGAAAAATGAAGTAACAGAAAAAAGTAAAGTAACAGAGAAGCCTTGCTTCAAAAAACAAAAAAATTAAAAAATTAAATAAAAATAAAAAGTGCAATGTAGCCAGGCATAGTGAAGCAAGTCTTTAATCCCAGACTTTAGAGGCAGAGGCAGGTGGATCTCTGTCAATATGAGGCCAATGACAGCCAGAACTACATAGTAAGATTCTGTTTGGAAAATGCAGAGTGCAGGAGGGCATTGTGAGGCCAGGAAGTTTTACAGTCTTTTTTCTGTATATTATGTTCTGTACCAAGGCTATCTATCCTCGTTATTTTTTTAAGGGGAGAACCCAAACACACTACCACAAATTATGTAGTCGACTTTCCCATCTTTGAGGAAATCACAGGGGTCGGGCATCCAGTGTACAATGATTAAGCATCATCCTGGGAAGAAAACGCCTCCACATCACAGCATGCCCCTCCCAGGTAGCCCTTACCCTTCTTATGAAGTGACTTGCAAATGCACTGATTAATGTCCACTTATACATCCCTGTGCAGAAATTACGATTTTGTGATTCCAGTAATGAACCTATATTCCCTGTGAAGTTCTGGCAATAAATTACTTCAGTGCGCAGACATTAAAAAGATTTTATGACAGCTAACCACAGGGTCACAAATCCAAATTGTGATCAGCAAGTGGTAGAAACTGGACAAATACACAGTGCTGCCTAGCAGGGGGTCCTGGTGATTTTTGCCATTCACAACACGTGTGAGAAGTACACACAGGCCAACTGACCAAGTTGGACACCTGTTAATAAAATAACCAAGAAGCAATGTCATTAACTTTATCCTTGGTCTTACACTAAGCCCAGCATGCATGGAACACAGACATAGAACAGTGAAAAGTCTAGAGGCCTGGCCAAAGTATTAAGAACCTAACTTTCATTTGGTACTGTGTGGCCTTGCTAGTCTGTTCCTTAGATGGACAGCCCTTCCACCAGATCAGCGCGTAGACACATTTATCTCCGTGCCAGGCTCAGATTTAAGTGCTCTTACTGCTAACAAGCCACAGAAACACAACAGCAATCCCTGCAGGCCACCTCTGAGACAGCTCACAACAAAGTGCAGGCTACCCTCAGAGTGCTGGGGCAACAGGTGTGTGCCACCTGCCTTAGTTTCCCATTGTTCCTGAACATCACCTGGGTCCCCTCAAGGGGCTTCCCATCACCTCCAGGGGACCAAAAGCCGAGTGAAGACACGTTTACTGCTGTGATCTCTCTGTACTGTGCCGGATGCCTGATGATTGGGGGCAAAACCCAAGCTAACAAGAGAATGATAAAATAGAATACCTTTGTATTGAACTGTATTCTGTATGTTTTCCATTAGCTTTTCCATTAGCACAGGTTTAAAATTAAAGTCTTTGATTCACTTTGAATTGATATTTTTTTACAGGATAAGTATTATTAATCTCTAAATCGGGCGTTGGTGGCACACGCCTTTAATTCCAGCACTCACGAGGCAGAGGCAGGCATATCTCTGTGAGTTTGAGGCCAGCCTGGTCTACAGAGCAAGTTCTAGGACAGGCTCCAAAACAATAGAGAAACCCTGTCTCGAAAAACCAAACAAGGAAAGAAAGAAATACTAATCCAATTTTAGTCCTCTACAGGTGTGTCTTAGTTAGGCTTTTTATTACTATGGAAAAACATCATGACCAGAGCAACTTATAAAAGAAAGCATTTAATTGGGCTTATGGTTTCAGAGGTCTAAAAGTCTTTGACAGCAGGGACAGCTGAGAGCTCACATCTTGATCCACAAGTAGGAGCGAGAGAGAGCTCACTGGGGATGGCACAAGTTCCTGAAACCTCAAAACCCACTCCCAGCAGCACACCTCCTGCAACAACCCACACCCCCTAATCCTTCCCAGCACCAACCAGAGACCAAGTATTCAAACATATAAACCTATGGAAGTTATTCTTATTCAAATGGCTATAAGACGGATAACCAGCTTTGCTAGCACCATTTGTTTAATACGTTGTTTGGGAGCTGGTGGGACAAAGAGAGACTCTACAGGACTTTGATAAGGACTGCATCAAATCTGTAAATTACTTATGTTTGTAGTCATTTTTACATTATTTCTGTTAATCCAAGACCATGGAAGGCCTTTTTATCATTTAGTTTCATCTCTCATTTCTGTTCTCAATGTCTCAAAGTTTCCATTATAAAAGTCTTTCATTTTCTTGGTTAGGTTCATTCCAAAGTATTTTATGTTTGGGAGTTTCTTCGGTTTGGGGTTTTTGTTGTTTATGTTGTGTCTTGTTTTTTTGTGATAAGAATATAGGAAATTAAAAACCAAACTTTAAGGACTGGGATATAGCCCCATGTTAGACCATGAGTGAGGCTGCCGGCTTGATTCCCAGCAAGGAAACAAGGTGTGGTGATGTGTGACTATAATCCTAGTCTGCACAAAGGTTTCCAGGCCCAGCAGGGCTACTCAGACAGATCCTGTCTCAACATGAAACAAAATAAGACAAAACAACAAGTCCAAACAAGGTATGACCACATTAGAATAGGTGAAATTTGCTGTATTAATTAACTTATCAAAAATATTGATCACATAAATTAAGAACCAATTTCAGAAACAAGCAAGGACCTAATAACTCAGAACTTTCCAGACTGATAAAATAAATGAATGGAGACTTTAACGTTGAGCCTCAGGGTGCCTGATGAAAGCAAGAAGAAATGCCCAGAACCCTGGAAAGGAGATGGTACCTGAATGTAAGTGATTGTGTTGGAGACCCTCCTCTTGGACTGTCGTGAGCTTGCTCTGCAGCCTGTGGGAGACAGAGTCAGAGTACACGTTCAGAGGAAGGGCAACAGGCCTTCTCTAGTGTTCCCCCAACCCAGTCATCAGCAGAGACTTGCTGTGTCCCTGTGTCCTCTATGTACTCATAAAGCAACAGGGCACCGGCTCATGCCTTCCTCCCTGCAAGCTAAGTAGGAACACGTAGGGTTCTAGTATGGAGGGGAGGTGTCCATTTCCTTCAAGAAAGTCACTGCCTAATCCTGTGATGGCAATTCCATTTAAATGAACAATCTGGTTTCTGATAGTGACTGCATTTCCAATATTTGGATGTGGCCAAGTGGCTACTAGGGTAAACATGGCAACTGGCCACTTTTGCCCTTACAGAAAGTTCTGATTGGAGCCATAGGTCTCAAGGACAGGACTGGACAACGTAGGAGGCTTCAAATCATGGGGACTGAATTCCAGGTGTTCTGTATGAGGAAGGGACAGTAGGAAACACCTCTCATCCATGATGATGTCATGTCAGCACAAGATCCAGTCCATGCTGAGAACAGCCCTACGAGAAATGACAGAGTAGGGATCTGCCACCGTGGGTTCTCAGAGCTTTGGTGTCGCCTCTGCCCTGTGGGAGTAGACCAATCCCCTTTAAGGAAGCATGGGAGGGCTCTCAGAGTCACCGTAGGTTCTGAGCCAGGGAGAAGCTCTTGTCCCTCTGAGCTATGTGTGCAGCTGTACCTGTTGTGTGAGAATATAATCCCACCCCCAGCTCCTCCCTGCACACCTACCACTGGTCTCCACTGTGCAGAATGCCTCCAAGACTCGGGTCAAGGGGACATTCCTGGCATCTGAGGACTGCTCACTGCAGGTCCCATTGATGATGACACAGTCCTCACGTCCACTGACACCTCCTTCATCATTGAGGTGTCTGCTGTTTCCCTTCATTGTTGTCTGTGGGAGAAGGCCAGAACAGATGGGAAGGAAGGAGACAGGGGCATGAGAGGGCAGGTCACCCCAACTTTCCCACCATGGGCTTCGTGTCCTTGCTTCAAGAGAGACCCCCGTGACCTAATCTCTGGGTGATATTGGACTCCTGAACCCTATCCTGGGACCCTCATCAAACTCAGAGGCTCAGGGTTTGGTTCCAAGTATCAAGTAGCCTAGAAGGCTCAGATACCATCACTCAAGAGAGAGCTGGTGTCTGAGAGGAAACTGTTGTATGACAACTCTTCTAACAATGCCATTTAGGGCATGCTTGCCTGGACCTGCTTGAGACAGCCTAAGTTCCCTTCTGTCCCTGCCCAGCCTCTGCAGAGCCTCAAGAAGCCAGTGCACCCTTTTCCCTCACAGCCCCTTTGTTTGCTCTCTCTCCAGGTCTCCTTCCCTCTGCCCCTCCTCTCAGACAGGCTTCTCTCTTCTCCATAGCAGCACAAGACCCACCCCAGCCCATCCTCTGGGGCCCATTGGTCCGTTGGCCTGTCACTCATTCCCTCCCTCACCAGTTGGGGGTGAATCCCAAGTTCTAAATGGAAGGGAGGAAGGGAGGATGGAGGAGAAGCAGAGGCAAAGGGCTGTGGCAGTCACCAGGAGTGACAGCTCTGACCTGCTGTGGCCTCATGACACCTCCAGGACTTGGTCTTCCCATTGCTGTCTCTCTAGTAAGCCAGCTAAGACAGAGAGCCAGGTCCTCACTGATGGGTCCACGGGCTGTGTGACCTTTGTCCTGACTCACACAACATCGTAGACACCAATTACACACACACACACACACACACACACACACACGAAACTGCTGTAAGCCTAAACAGGAAAAATGATATACCAGGCAAGCTCTCAAGGATTCAACACCAAGTGCAACCGGGCCCTCATCTGCAACGGTAGGAATTGGGGTGCTGAGGCAGGGGGATTGAAAGTTGGCAGCCTGGGCTAACAAGGAGAAGTTGTCTCAAAGCCAAAAAGAAAAAAATAAAAAAAATTAAAACAAAACAAAAAGCAAAAACCCATGACATCCAAATGTTAGAATGATAGATGTAGCTAAATCTCATACATGTGCATAGCAAGACACTAGATTCAATTCTTTTTTTTTTTTTTTTTTTTCCAGACAGGGTTTCTCTGTGTAGCTTTCGCCTGTCCTGGAACTAGCACCATAGACCAGGCTGGCCTCGAACTCACAGAGATCCGCCTCCACCAACATTTGGCTACTAGATTCAATTCTTAGCACTTAAAAAAAATGTTGGAGTAAGCCACCACAACAAAACAAAACATACAGGTGACCCATAGATGTAAACTTTTGTTACTTTGGAGGTGGTGGCACCAGTTTCTGCATCTGAAGACAGCCTGGACCACACACACTCAAAAATAATCATCTGAAAAGTGGGCCCAGGATTGGGCATAGACAAAGCTAAAAGTCTGTTGTTTGAGGTGGGGCCTACGCTGGCAGTGTAGTAGGCTTTTCCGGGACTCACATCGAACACACTGCAAGCCTCCAAACTGGGTCTCCCAAAAGCCACAATTACGTTCGTGAGCCACCCTTCCTGTCTTTGCTTTTAAAATCTATGTTGAGTTTGCAAAAATTAAGCCGTGTCAAAACGGTATTATGATCTATAACGGTATTTCTCAACCTACGGTTCGAGACCCCATTGCGTGTCAGAGGACTCTTTCACGGCAGTCTTTGCCTAAGACAATTACAATTCATAACAGGAGCAAAATTACAGTTATGAAGGAGCAACAAAAATAAGTTTTATGGTTGGAGATCACCACAGCATGAGGAACTGTATTAAAGGGTCGCAGCATTAGGAAGGTTGAGAACCACAAATCTACAAGATCATACTCAAGAATTGTTCTATCAAGTTATCAATTATCATCATAAAAAGAGACTCAATGTTTTAAGTAAAGTTACAGTTTTGTGTTGGTCACACTCAGAGCTACCGGTCTCTGTGACCAATAGGTTACACAGGCCTAAGCAGGAAAAAGTTCGTTAAGTACCATCCCTCCACTTCATGGGGCCCAAGGTGGTCATTCTGATCTTTGCCTAGAGAAAGTTTGCCACTAAGTAGCTATCTGGCTCTAGTCTTCTCGACTCTGTCCCATCCAGACACTCACCAGAAAAAGGTTATCCTCAGAGAGAACCTTCTAGAAGCACCGCTTTAGTTGCCTGGGGATGTTATAGGTTTCACATCCACCAGGGGGCACTGTGTAACACAGCCCCGGATGGTACCCACTGATGTATTTGCAATTTATTCAAGCAAGCCCCAACTGCATCCTTTAAACTTGGCCATCACCCAAGCATGAGCCCTGTGCAAACAGGGCAAGGGATCCTCTCTTATCCTGCCAAAGGCCCTGACCTAATAAAGGCATTTTTTTAAAATTTATTCTATATAACCAAGTCGATTTAAATGAAAACAAACATTTATAGACAATATTTGGGAATTTGGGCGTCGTTCTTCCCAAACTACTTCCTGCTGGTAAGGGGTGCTGTCATGGGGGATTCTACGATGCAGAAATCCTGGCTGTAGTCTGTAAGGCTGCTTTGTCCTGCTGTTTTGAATGTAGAATCACCTAGTACTCTGTTTCAGGCGGTCTGGCTTGATCAAACCACATTAGTCTGGAAGGAATCCACAGCCTTTCATTTTCTGTGGAAACAAAAATAGAAATCCTTTTCCCCAGTAACTTGTCCTTGAACTTAAATTGGAGTCAAAGCATTTTTTTAATTTAATTTATTATTTTACATGTTGATCCCAGTTCCCTCTCCCTCCCTCCCTTTTACTCTCTCTGCCCTCTCACATGCACCCTGACCTCCCTCCCCTCCCATCCCCCCACCCTAATTCCATATGTAGGGGAATGCCATCCAGTTGGGGTCATGTAGATCTGACAGGTCATGTGAAGTAGGGACTAGGGCTTCTCTCCTGTCTCTAGGTTAAGGCAGTTATCCCTCCATGGGGGATGTGTTCGCAAGGTCCTTTTGTGCACCAGGGATACATCCTGGCTCCACTGTCTGAGGTCCCTTAGACTGCTCAGTCCTTCTGGCTGAGACCCATATTCAGGGGGGCCTGAGTCAGTCCCATGCTGGATTCCCAGCTATCAGTCTGGGGGCTTTTTTTTTTTTATATAAAGGCATTTTCTTAGAGTTACTTAGAACTTCAGAATCTGTGGCCAGCAGGATGGCTTAAGGATAAAGACACTGACTGCCAAGCCTGACAACTTAAGTCTGATCTCCAGAACCCACATAGTGCAAGGAGAGAACTGACTCCCTCAAGCTGTTCTCTTTACACACAGGTACATACAAACTAAACGACTACACAAATGTAAAATAAATAAATAAATAAATATAACAAAAAACCTTCCGATCTCAGGCACCATCCACAAATCTATTCTGCTCCATGAGGGTTTTAAACTTTACCAAGATCCCTGGTTGTGATGGCTAATTTTATGTCACAGGCGAGAGGCATCTAAGAGGAGGGAGCCTCAACTGAGAAAATGCCTCCATAAGATCATGAAACCATGCCCTTTAATCTCAGCACTCAGGAGGCAGAGGCAGAGGCAGGCAGACCTCTGTGAGTTTGAGGCCAGCCTCATCTGTGGAGTGAGTTCCAAGACAGCAAGAGCTGTTACACAGAGAAACCCTGTCTGGAAAAACCAACAGAACTTTTAAAAAAAAAAAAAAAAAAAAAAAAAAAAAAAAGTCATCCTGGGCAAGGAAACCCAGATCCAGAAAAACAAACATGATATATGTTCTCACTTATAAGTGGATATTAGCTGGAAAGTAAAGGATATTCATGCTTATAATCCACAGACCAGAGAAGCTAAGTAACAAGGAGGGCTGTAGGGGAACACAGGGATCTCCCTGGGAAGGGAAAATAGAATAGTTTGTGAGTGAACTGTGGGCAGGTGGGCTGTTCTTGGACTTTTTTCTCAACACAAAGACTATCACTGCCTAGGGGGTCAGCCTCCAGCACCGCAGGGCTCAAAGGGAATCCATGCAGTCAGTGCATATTATGAATTTTATATGAGGGTTAGGAAAAAGACACACACACTCTTGATGGCTTCCTCCTTTATTCTTCTGTGTTTTATATTCTCTTTTCTTATCTCTATCCAGAAATGTCCCTTCTGTCTCTCTTGATGTTTTCCTTCTCTTTCTCTTTTGATGTCCTCCTCCTAATTCTTGATGTTCTCCTTCCAACTCATTCTGACTCTATCTTTATTCTTTCCCTTACAGCTTATACACCCCAGCAAAATCTTTCAGGCAATATAAAAATTATAGTGTGGGGGCTGGAGGGATGGCTCAGAGATTAAGACTGACTATTCTTCCAGACAGAGGTCCTGAGTTCAATTCCAAGCAACCACGTGGTGGCTCACAGCCATCTATAATGAGACATGGCACCCTCTTCTGAAATGCAGGCAGAACACTGTATACATAATAAATAAGTCTTTTTTAAAGAGCATTAAAAAATTACAATATGATTACATTCTGTTTTTCAAATGAATGATTACAATGGATACAAATAAAAAAACAGCATGCTTTCCACAACCTTAACATTACTAAACACTTTAATAATACAGGTGAAAAACAAATTATTACAAGAACCCACCTACATTTGCAACTTGTTATAGATTAACTGTGCAGGCAGGCAAGATATTCTTCTCAGTCAGATCTTTCATCAGCAGGCTGAGTTTTGCAGTTACAAAGGGCCAATTACTTTATTACTTATCCTGAAAGGTAATCTTATAAGGAATCTTAAAGGAATCACAAAACTAAATTTTTGTATATGAAATAGAATCAGACAGCTCTGCTTTAAGTCTTTAGGGTGTATATCCACTCATCAATAGCTTTTTGTATCATGAGATTGAGGACAGAAATGGCTATAGGGAATTACCCTTTGGTCATCAACCAATCCTAGCAAGAAAAAGTGCATCAGCTAGTAATAACTGGGATGCCTTGTTCTTGT